CTTGTACATAGGTTATGCATATATAACTCAGGGCTCAGTAATGAAAAGATAATTGAGCCAATTTAAAAATGTGCAAAGACAGGCTCAGTGGAGTCATTGCCTGCCCGGCAACCCCAAGTCATGAGTTTGATCCCTGGTAACAAAAAAAAAGTGCAAGGGATCCAAATAGACATTTTTCCAAAGCAAATATATTGATCTTATAATGAATCTAAGAGGCATGAACACATGCAAATATGCTCAACATCATTACCTATCAGGAAGACACAATTTAAAACTATAATAAGATACCACTTCAAGATAAAATGAAAACAAAGCTTTGTAAATAGGGAGGGGAGGGCCAGGGGTATAGCTCAGTGGCACAGTGCCTGCCTAGCAAGTATGAGGTTGTGAGTTTGATCCCTGGTACCAATAAATAAGTAATAAGGAGGGGGAAAGGGTTGAAGGGAGGGAAAGGGAATGGGGGAAAAAAGAGAAATCAAGATATATCATGTACAGGTACAAATTCCCTATGATGAATGTGATCATTATATATACCTAAAGTGTACCAATAAACTTAACTTAAAAAAAGATACTACTTCAAGTCTACAAGGATGGCTATCAAATTTTTCTGGAAATATAATAAAAACTGTTAGGGAGGACACAGAGAAACTGAAATCCTCATACACTGCTGATAAAACTGTAAAATAATGCGGGCATTTTGGAAAGCAGTCTGGCAGTTCTTCAAAAGATTAAACATAGAATTACTACATGGCCATATGGTATTTTATTACATCTGTTATATGGAATTGTCAGTGCTACATGACAATATATTATCCATTCCTAAGTATAGCCAAGAGAAATGAAAACACATGTCTACACCAAAGCTCATATGTGCTCATAACAATATTTTCATGACAGTCAAAAGATAAAAACAATCCAAACTCCCATCAATTGATGAATGGATGTATAACGTGTGATGTATCTACAATATGCAATACTATTTGGCCATAAAAATAAGCAAAACACTGATATACGTTACAACATGAATGAACCTTGAAAACACGCCAAATGAAAGAAGACAATCGCAAAAAACCACTTATTATGTGGTTCTATTTACATCCCAATATGAAATGTCCCAAATAAGCAAATCTGTAGAGTCAAAAATTAGAAGTTGCCAGGACAAAGGGCAAGAGAAGAATGAGCAACTGTTAATGGGTATCAGAGTTTCTTTGAGGGGAGATAAAAATATTTTAGAATTGTTTATGGTGATGGTTTAACAACTCTGTGAGTATATCAAAATCCATTGAATTCTACACTTTAAATGGATGAATTGTGTGTTATGGGAATTATGTCTTTTTTTGTACCAGGGATTGAACCATGACCTTGCTCTTGCCTGGCAGGTATTTGTGTTGCTGAGCTAAACCCTTGGCCCAAATTATGCCTTAATAAAGGTCTTATTGGGCTGGGGATTTAGCTCAGCGGCATAAGCGCCTGCCTTGCAAGCAGGCAGTCATGAGTTCGATCCCCGGTACCGATAAAAAGCAAAAAGACAATAAATAAATAAATAAATAAATAAATAAATAAAGGTCTTATTTAAAGAAGGAATTATAAAACATAATGCACTAACAATAAGCAATAACAACAAAACCTCTTTGCCCCTTTGCTCATGGGTAATCCATTCACAGCCTGTCATTCAGAAGAGTATGAGAATTGACTACGAATAACATTCTTTTGTTCTTTGTCAAAATAATAACTGGAGGCACATGTTGCTCTCCCCCTTATCCTTCCACCAAGACTTGGCTCCAAAAGCGAGCAGATGTTTTCTGTTACAAGAAAACAGAAGCAGTTATGTGCAACACTGGTTTTGCTTTTCCTACCATGAGTGTTTACCCATGAATTCATGGCCAAGATATCGATAGCATCTGTGACTCTCTGAAGCATGACAGTGTCCACTCGTCCGGCATCCACTCGGGACTCAATCTCTACTTTATTTGTTCGGCTTGGTTTAAACTATAAACTGATTCAAACCCTTCTGCACAAGCTGTGTACGGACTCCATACACATACCATCCATCACCTTGGGGGGTGAAATCTGACGGAAAGAGCATAAAATTCTTTGCAGTAAATTGATTTTTTAACTTGGTTAATGACTGAAGGGACCTAATGTGTAAAAAGTCTTCCTGTACTCAGCCAACTTCTGTTATTTGCCCACCAGTGTCACAACTTTTGCTACATGTAATGCTATTATTTATTTATTTTTTCTTTAAATTAATTTCTACTTCTTTTTTTTTTACTTAAGTGTGTTTATGAACCTAAAAGGAAAGCCAGTGACTTTGTTGCAAATTGAAAGTCACTCTTAAAAATAAACCCAATGAGCCAGGTATGAATATGCATGCTGGTAATCTCAGTAACTTGGGAGGCTGAAGCAGGATTGCAAATTTGAAGCCACCATGGGCAATTTAGCAAGACTTTGTCTCAGAGTTTATAAAAAATCTGGACATGTAGCTCAATGGCAAAGTACTTGCATTGCATGTGCAAAATCTTAGCTAAATTCAATCTCCTGCACTGGAAAAAAAAATTTAAAATAATAAACTCAGTCAAAACAGAATGGTACTGGTTCTAACTAGATATGGTAGCTTGGCAAGATTCTGAGCCTGAGACCTCATACTTAAACTGGGAGATTAGCAAGGAGTACAGACCTGTTAAGACCAAGGTGAGTCGTTGTCCTTGACAGAATCAAATGATTAAATGAGAATACAAAAGATTAGGACATTAGAGACGCTCTTTGTTTATTTCTTCCAGGATTCCTTAGAGGAACATAATGTGCTATCTTCCTACTAGGCTGCGAGGTGCTGGAAATTTATTAAGCCCTATTCTTTCCACATGTACAGTCTTGGAAAACAATTTAGAAGAATGAAATAACCTATGAAGCACATTAGTGCCTGGGTGGTGGTAAACAGTGCTTTGAGGTTGATCTGGGAGTTGTTATTATGATAATTATCATTACTCCATGATGTCAGAGCAAGGGATAGGTTTGCTGAGAAAAGTTGGGGGTTGGGCTAGTCTATGAATAGTCTAGCAGCCATGATGGCTTGGGGTCTGTGCAGGAGGCATGTGGAGCTTGAGTCCCATCAGAGCAGGGCCAGTGAAGTGGGAGAGGAAGCCCTTGACAGTTTGGGCTTATCCAACCTGAGAAGGAAAGTTGAGCATGGTGCAGTGTCCAGAGCTTAGGTCAGGCATGAACATGCTTGGACAAGCCTGAAATCTCTGCTTAGACACAAACAGCTGGCATTATATATTTGGCTGTTTGGTAGAATTCCAGGTGCCATCCTGGGTCTTGTCAAAGATGCAAAGGTATTACTACCCTCAGGGAGCTTGTGATCTTATGGAAGAGCCATGGGTACAAATAACTATAACACAGGGAGAAACAATGGGCATGTTTTCCTCCTTTAACATTGTCATGGCTGCAGATGACAGACATTCACTCTGAATCAGCATACACCTGCAGTGTTGGTTCCCATAACTCAGGAATAAATGACTTTAAGCATTGCTAGGTCCAAGTGCTTAACATTAAGTAACAGAATTGAGTCTCAGTGGTCCAGTCACACTGGTAAGGACCACATCTTCCAGAGCTGGGGATAGAAGTCAGCTTGACAACTCACACTGACCTGGGGAGGAATATTCTCCTGAAACATCAGAGCAAGGGAGAGAAAATGCTGAGCAGACGGCCACACACTGCCCACCACAGTGGCCTACCAGGGAGTGGCTCTCAGAGTAGGGTACAGGTCACTGTGACCCAGTCAGGAAAGTTACTTGGAAGAGGTCTTTGGTTTGGACCTGAACTTAGACTACAATTGGGGATTCAGGGACAGGACTGGGATATTCTTGCTCTGTGTCTGGGGAGAAAGAAAAAGGAACAGGTATTTCCTAAAAAGCTATCTGGTACCAGAGTCTGCAACAATTATCTAGGTATAATTTTCTCAAGGACCCTGTCTCCTCGTGCAATCTATAAATTAGATATAATGGGACTGGGCTCAGTGTTAGAGGATTTGTCTATCATGCATGAGTCCCTGGGTTCAAACCCCAGCACCACAAAAAACAACTCAATGAATAAATAAGGAGATGAATTGGAGTCAGGTGTGGATGGTGGATACCTGTAACTCCACCACACTGAGTGGCAGAGGCAGGAGGATCAAAATTTGAGCCCACCTAGGCAACCTGGTGATTTAGCAAAAGCTGTCTCAAAATAAAAAATAAATATAACAGTAAAAAGTCTGTAACTCTTGCTTGAATCTCTATTAACACACACAAATACACACAGAGACAGAGACAGAGAGACAGAGACAGAGACAGAGAGATTGAGATTTGCTTATCTCCATTTTATACATAGAAACCCCAAGGACTGGAGAATTCAAGTAGCTCATCTATTAGGTCATGCATCCCAGAGGGCAAGAAACTGTTCTGTTTTCCTCATCAGCGAGTCCTCAGGGACCATAAATGCTTTGGGGTTGGGGATGAATGGAAGGATGAGTGGAAGGAGGGAAGGTGAGAGGGAAGGAACGAAGGTGGGAGGGAGGGAGAAAGCGTGGAAAGCAGGACGGAGTGAGGTGCATGGCGAGGCCTCCGGCCGGGCCTGGGACATTCTACCCGAATCTGCTTCCAGGTGTCACAGGGGCCACCATGCACTTGAGGAAGTACCTGCTGAAGGGCCTGCACCGGCTGCAGAAGGGTCCGGGCTACACCTACAAGGAGCTGCTGGTGTGGTACTGCAACAACACCAACACTCACGGCCCCAAGCGCATCATCTGCGAGGGGCCCAAGAAGAAGGCCATGTGGTTCCTCATCACCCTGCTCTTCGCCTCGCTCGTGTGCTGGCAGTGGAGCGAGTTCATCAAGACCTACCTGAACTGGGAGGTCACCGTCTCGCTCTCCCTGGGCTTCAAGACCATGGACTTCCCCGCCGTCACCATCTGCAACGCCAGCCCCTTCCAGTAGGTGGTACCTGGAGCGCGCGGCCCGGCCGCTCTGCCTCCACCCGCCCTTCCTTCCTGCCCTCACTTGACCTTCCTCTTTCTTTTCGTTTATCTTCCTGTGCCTGGGTTTTTCCCCCCTTCTTTCTCTTTCTCCATCTTGGAGTTCCTCCTCTTGCAGCAAGTAAGAGTCAAATTTCATAAGCTTCTTAGATGCAGAGAAACTCAAAAAGTACCCGCTAGTGCTGCCTTCGGGGATGCCTGCGTCTGTTTAGACATTGCGCCTGTGTCTGCTGAGCAGCTGCTCGGTATCGGCCACCACTGCTGGAAATACAGTAGTGAGCAGCCCTCTCTACAAGGCATTAATATTTCTCCCACGAATATTGAATGAAGTAAAACTGTAATGATAAAAATAACACTACACATTAAAGGCCTGTGTGTCAGGCACTGTGCTGTGTGTCCTTAGGGCACTGATACGGGAGTGACTCTAATCCACCCAGCCAACGTACATGCAGGCAGGATCTTCTGCAGCAGCCCCACTTTACAGGTAAGGAAACAGAGGTTCAGAGAGGTGAGTAAACTTGCCTAAAGACACACAGCGAGCAGCTCTGGGATTTGAGCTCAGGTCTGATCTCACTCCAAACCTGCCACTTCTTAAGTCATTCTGCCATGCTGGCCTTTCCCCCCAACCTGACTGCTGGGCTTCTAAATGAGACATACAAGGAGACTCAGATTTCATCTGGGCTGAGGAGAAGCAGATGATCAGTAAGAGAAAAATTCCCAGAGGACTGAGTAGACAGACGTTAGCCAGGAGAAATGCCCCTAAGTGGTGGATGCAACACACACAAAGGCCCTGGAGTAAGAACTCCATCCTGAAAATTCAGGGAATCAAAAGCAGAACCAGAGAACTTCAGTAACCCTTAAACACGGCTCTGGAGTAAGGGAATACATTCCTCTTGTTCAGGAACAGGCAGAGGAAAATATTGACTTAACGATATTTAAGAATAATGCTACTGGACCGGGGATTTGGCTCCAAGGCGTAAGCGCCGGCCCAGCAAACGCAAAGTGGAGTTTGATCCCCGGTACAAAAAAAAAAAGACTGATGCTGCTGACCATAGCAAAAGTTGGAAGCCATAATTTAAAATGATCACACCATTTTTTTGGAGCTGAAAAACAATGAGAGCTCTGTATCACATGCGATGCCTGCAGCAGCCATAGCAAAGAGGAGGGGACCACCGAGATCCATTTGGACCAATCAGAACTTACTGCTCGAGCTAGGGGAGGCGCACCTCCTCCCAGCTGTGCCATCGGGAAGAAGGGGGAGTGGTTGTTAGCCCCCAAATAGGCTCTCCCAGGTACTACTCCTGTCCGTACTCTAAACTTTATTGATACCGGAAGGACAGAGGACTTCAAACAAAGAAACAAACCCTGTTCAAAAAGTCTGAAACATCAGCTGTGTCTTTCGCTTCTAACGATTTCTCTGATTTCTTTCTTTCTTTTTTGGTTATGATGCATTTCTGGGATTTTTGTTTTTCCTTTTAATTGTCGAATTAGCAACTATCTGGGAGAACTGAATTTACTAACATACTTACTATAGAGCTGTAAACAACATTTGAGTGGTAGAAAGACACACGCATGCATGGAGAAGTGCGTGCATGTGCACGGCACCTTCTGATACCTGGTGACAGCCACACTGGAATACAAGAGGAACCCAGGTTTTAGGTGTGCTGCTTGCGGCTCATCCTTAGCCACCTTCCTAACCTCTCCCCAACCAGGTATTCCAAAACCAAGCATCTACTGATGGACCTGGACGAGCTGATGAAGGCGGTCCTGGAGAGGATCCTGGCCCCAGAGGCCAGCTATGCCAACACCACCAGTGCTCTGAACTTCACCCTCTGGAACAATACGCCCCTGGTGCTTATTTATGAGCAGGACTCCAGCCACCCAGTGGTCCTTGATCTCTTTGAGAATATCCCCAGTGCCTCAGTAGGCAGCAACGCAGCACAAGGAAGGACCTGCAGTGCCCCGGGGTGCAAATTGGCCATGAAACTGGTAAGTAGTCTCCAGACACACATCCAGCAATGAGTCCCTTCCCAGCAAGACTAATGGGAGTCTCTTTTCTTTAGTAACTTGAATCTTGTTGGGGGAAGCCAGTGTTCATTTTCTATTTGCAAAATTTGCAGAAACGGAAATAGCCAGCTTGTGAGTCGAGACTCTTCTGGATGCAACTGATCCAGCACCAATTTTCTAATGCAAAATAGGGAATTCATATAACTCAGAAGTTCAGAGATCAGGTGGGTTCAGGTATGGCTGAATCCAGGTGCTCAGATGTTATCAGGACTTTATCCCTCTTTGTCCCATTCAGCTTTTCTAATGGTTGATATTACTCTCTGGTACACCATCTCTACATAAAGGGCCCTGTCAGTACCCTTATACCTTACCAGCTCTGCAATCTCTCCTCTTTCTCAATAGCTTCAGTGAAGGGCCTGGGACTTACTCACCAGATCACACGCTCTCTGCTGAGCCAGTCACAGTGAGCTAGAGGATGGGTTCCCATGATTGGCCAGTTCTGATTCATGTGCTTTGGGTGCTGGGGCGATGTAAGCCTCTGTCAGACCACAAGTGGGGAGGGGGCATTGTTCCTTGAAGAAGGATCTAAGTCTCACTGCCATAAAGACTTCAGTAGCTGGGCAGTACAGTTGGGTTCCAAGAAATAACCTCTCTTCCCAGGGAAGCTGACATACCATCAGCTCTAGAAGCCTGAAGATGGGAAGAAGAACCTGTTAGGGTCATTCTATACCAGTGCAAATCCCTGAGCACTGCTCCTGGAGAGTTGGAACAGAAAGTTCTGGGCTGAGGCCCAGGATCCTGCGTGGTTACCAGTTTCCTTGGTGACTGAGGATCAGCTTAGATAGGGACAAAGCCTGCTTTACTCATTCACATGGTCATGACTTCCCCAGCTCCCAATGCTGCACTCGGGCCAGCAAAAGCTTGGGGCTCCTGAGCTCCATTCCAGCACCAGTTAGTGCCCTTCTACCTTTCACTGTGAGCTTAGCAGACTTAGGGTGACTGACCCCATGTTCTCCCTAAGCAGGGGGGAGGCCAAATCCCTGAGTTCTGACTTCCTTGTCCGTGCAGCCTCTAGAAGTCATAGGCAGTGATTGAGAAAGGAGCCAAGGAGTCAGAAGGTGTTGTCTGTCTGTGTATGTGAGTGTGCATCTACATAGACAGGTACATGTGTGTGTGGTTCTAGGTCATCAGAGCATGGTGGCCACTAGTGTGAATCTAGGTAAATGGGCTAAGCAGGGAGCAGTAGTCCCAGCTATTCAGGAGACTGAGGCAGGAGGATTGCTCGAGACCAGGAGTTCAAGGGTAGCATGGGCAGCATAGCAAGATGCCCTTCTCAGTAGAGAAAAGAACATGTAATTAGATGTTGGAGGCTTGTATGAACATGTATATACATAGTGACCATGCCATCATGTGCCTGTGGATGTTAGAGAGCAGACATTTGTGTGAACATCTGTGCATGCAACGCTGTGTGTGGTCATTAGTCCATAACAGTATATATGAAGCTGGGGCTGTTGGCTATTCAGGAAAGTCCTTGTGACCAGCCATACAACTGAGAGTGACATCATGACCCCTGAGTATGGGTGAGTATACTTAGGACCACGTTTCCCACTGCAAAGGTGCGGCCACGGGGCAGTGGGCCAAGTGCAGTTCTAGCCCTGTAGGTCCTCAGGCCAGTGGCTGGAAGTACGCAGAAGCCCCATACCCACTGGAACCCCTCCTTGTCCCTGCAGTGCAGCCTCAACGGGACCGTGTGTACCTTCCGGAACTTCACCAGTGCCACCCAGGCCGTGACTGAGTGGTATGCCCTGCAGGCTACCAACATCTTCTCACAGGTGTCACGCCAGGAACTGGTGGAGATGGGCTACTCAGCTGAGCATATGATCCTCGCCTGCCTGTTTGGGACAGAGCCCTGCAGCTACCGGTGAGAGCCCTTGCCTACTACCCTACCCCACCCCACCCTGCCACTTAGCAGCTTCTGCACCATAGGACTCATGGAAGAATGGATGCAGAATAAAGAACAAGAAAGGGCTAAGCAAGATGTGGTCCCTGGTGAAGTCTTGGCTTGGCCTGATGGGCAGGATGAGCTGGTTGGTGCACACGCCACATACAGAATTGTTGTCCCTTAAAAGAGGGTCTCTATCAGCCTGTACCTGGCTGTGAGCCGCCTCCAGGGATGGGTCTCCTCATTTCCCACTCAAGGGGACATGAGAAGGGGCAGCTGTGAGCCTTTAGCCACAAACACCCGGCCTCTGGGGGCTGATGTGGAACCTGATAGGAAGTCTGGATGGGCATGCTAGCTTCAGCCTCTCGGTTTTCTCGTCTCTGAAACAGGGACTCTACTCTGGCAGACTGAGGGAGAAGGATCACAGCTTCAAGTCCAGCCTGGACGAGTTAATGACTTAGTGACTTAAGGACTTAGTGAGACTCTTCTCCAACCACCCCACCTCTTCTGAGCCACGCCTGGTGCCACCACCAGCCTCCCAAGCATTGAAATCTCAACTGACCTATCTTTGAGTTCTTCTCGCCTTCCTGAGTCAGCCTCGGACACAGTACAGAACGGTGTCTCTCTGCCTTTGCCCAACCTGGGCTCTAGACTGTGTCCATCCCCCATAGACATTGTAAGTGCTCAGTGTTAGGAAAGTATGGCCCATCTTTGGAGCCCAAACAGCTATTACAGATGTGCACCAGGGCACCCTACTAGACGAACATTTTTTTTAAAATAGCTGTTTATTGCAGACTCTCTCTAGATTGTCAAAGAAAGTAGAGTTCCCTCAGGCCCCTTACCCAATTTTCTCTGTCATGAACATCCAACCTTACCATGGTGCTTAGTTAAAACTAAAATGGTAGCCAAGTGTGGTGGTGCACACTCGTAATCCCACCGCTCAGGAGGAGTGTTGTTATGAAAGAGGAGGATTGTTATGAATTCGAGGCCCCCTGGACTACCCAGTGAGTCCAGGGCCCAGCCTGAACTGCATAGCAAGACCCTATATCAAAAAAAAAATCTAAGATGGGATATTGGAGGAAATGAGACATCTGTCAGATGTGATCAGCTTTTCCCAGTGATCTTTCTGTGTTCCAGGTTCCACCCCGGAGACCATGTTGCATTTAACCATCACATGACCTTAGTGGTCTTAATTTCTCAGGCGTCTTTGTTTTCAATGACCTTCACAGTTTTGTAGCATTGGTCAGGTGTTTGTAGAAAGCCCTCAATTTGGGCTGATTTGTTTTCCTTCACTGGAGCTCCATGGTCAGGGGAAGAACACCCTGGAGGAGGTGAGCAGCCTCTTCATGACATATCACACCAGGGGCACATGACGGCCATGTGACGTATCTCAGCTGTTAGCCTGCTTTGCTTGGTTTTCCAGACTTCTCCATTAAAGGAATTTTCTCCTCTCCCTGTGCTCTGAGCTTTGGAAGGGACTCGCTGAGCCCAGCAGTGCAGCAGGGGAGAGGCTGGGAGTAGGGGGGATTAAGCTCTAACAGTCTCCCAGAGAAGAGAATGTAGATACTTGGGCGTTTCTGTAAGGAAGGTTTTTTCCTCCCCTCCATGTGTACCAATATGGGTTCCTACATTCTCAAGGTATAATTTAGTACCTCATTATTTATTTTCTTAAATCCTCCCAGCTTTGGTCACTAGAAGCTCTTCCAGTTAGCTCCTGTGTCCCTTTGACATGTTCCTATCATCATCATTATTGTTATTATTATTATTATTATTATTATTAGAAGCAGCAGCACATTCTGCTACTACCTGGTTCATGAGCCTAGAATCAGCCATTTTTCAAGGCGTTGTAGTCACTTTTACTGGAGAATGCTATTTAGAAAGCAACATCAGAACATTTATGAGCTTTATGGTCATTACTGTTGTTACTGCTTCAGGGATCAACCAGCTTCTCTGCGAAGGCTTCCCCATTCCGGACCACACAATACTGCTTCTCCTAGCTTCCTGCATTTTACAGTCTTTTTTTTTTTAACAGACTTAGAACCTTTTCCTATATTGCTTAGCCTGGTCTCAAGTGATCTCCTGCCTCGGTTTTCTCAGCCATGCACAGTGCCCCTGATATCTCCTGGAACTTGCTGGGCTCTGCCCAAATTCCTAGACCCTGTCCCCGGAGAGGGAATCCTGTCTCTGGAAGCAGATGCAGCCAGTACTGAGCACAGCTTTTCTGGGTAGAAAGCATTACCAAGAAGCAAACAGTTGGTCCAGTGATGAGACTGAGCACACAGCCTGGCAGGAGGGGACCTGACCGCACCCTCACTGTCTCCTGCGCGCTGTCAATCTGCCCAAAACAGTGCTTAGGAACAGTGTGTTCCCACAGCCCAGGGTGAGGTCTCTGCCTTCAGAGTGGTGCCTGGCTTCAGCTGGTTTGCTCTGCTGTATCTTTTCCCTGTGGCCACAGCCCTCATTCTCACAGTACATATTCTCCGAGGTGCTGCCCACAGCTCTTCCTAACCCCCAGCCCTTTGCCTGTGCCGTGCCCCACTACCTGTGTTCTCTCTCCTCCCACCCTCTAGGAGTCCTGCTTACCCTTAAAGTCCTGCTCAGGCCTCACCTCACCCAAGAACCTTCCCTACCCTCTTCCCACCCTTGCAGAGACTTAGGTGTCACCCCTCCCTGCTTATCTCTGTGATGTCTTTATCATGTTGTAGTTTATTCAACAAATATTTACTGAGTGTCTGTGTACTATGGGCCAAGCCCTAGAATTAGAGAGGTAAGCAGTCACCGCCAGGATTTTTTACTGCGACAGTATGCTAGGCATCTAACCCTCCCTGTGGTCCCATAGCATGGCTGCCACTGATGCCACAGAATTACCATAACAGATGGGGAAAGTGAGGTGCAGATAAGTGAAGGGCCCCAGGCTTGACAGCTTGTAAATGACAGAGCTAGAATTAAAATCGGGGCAGGCTTGCTCCAGACATGTGCTCGGAACCCCTGAGCTGTCCTCTTCCAAGAGCAAGATCATGTGCCCTCACATGGACTGCAGTGCACAGCAGCAAGGAGCAGCTGGTGAGTGACTAAATCAAGACAATTTCACCTTTTGATTCATGCAGTACAGGGATTTAACAGCGCAAGAGTGGCTGGGTAGGGAAACTCTTACTAACTATTGGTCATAAAGCTCTTAGCCAAGAGTCAGCATCTACCACTCTGCATGGGCAGAGGAGGTCACCAGAGGCCTCATAGTAGGTGAGATCTGCTGGTCCTTTGGAGGGCTGCTTAGAGACTGCTCGAGGCACAAGCAACAGCAGGTGATAAAAGGGCTTGAGTCTGAAAACATCTGGAGTGAGCTTCTATGTTACTCTGCAAACAGCCAGGGGCATTTGTTGGGGCCAGAGCTGGGTGTGCCCTGTCTGATCCACAGAAGTCAACACTGGTCTGGAGATAGGGCCATGGAACATGGTAAAGGAGAATGAGTGGAGGCCGAGGCTTCTATGGGGCTTCGCGCAGGAAATGCTGGGGGCTTGGACCATGGTGGGAATTTAGAAGTGGAGAGGAGGACAGGCTAGAGTCACATTGAGGAAACACAGAACTGAACAGCTGCCGCCACATGTCCGGAACCACAGTGTGAGCCACAGAAGGCAACTCTCTGTCTCCCTCTCCCTACTCACAACCCAACACCTGCCTCAGTAAACATTTGCTAAACAAAGAAATGGGCTTCTTCCTCAGTTCCCTTGTACCACTGGTACAAGGTAGCTTAAGTTCACAGCTTGAAAAAGCAGTTTGAATCCATCAGACAGCGGCTGTGCTGGCTGCTGAACTGGGTTTCTCAGCCTGCACCAACCCTCTTCCCCTAGCAGACCGAGATGAAAGATACCGGCAACGGCTGCCTTATCTGAAAATCAGGAAAAATAACACCTGACCTCACGGCGTTATTCTGAGGATGAAGTGAGATAATATTTTCAGCCAGGACCTGGCCCACAAAAGTTGTATAGTAAATGTTGGTAGCAGAATATAAAGTTTAGTAGACAGCTCTGCACGTAAGATTTTTTTTTGTGACATGTGATGTACTTCTTCCTATTCTTTCTTATTTTAATAAATAGAACAACACAAAAACATAGACAAATATTTTAAGTTATTTGTGGAGATGAGGACATACATAGGGACAGAACTGGATGAACAACATTATCTTTATTCAAATTCACCAACTGGGATTCACTCCAACACCCAGGGCTATTCTACAGGCAGTCGAGGTACCAAGTCTTCATCAGTAAACAGGTCAGCATCTATCTGCAAAAGCTACTTTTTTTTTATGTTAAGAATGTTGGGGCTGGGGACACAGCTCAGCAACATAAGCACCTGTCTGGCAAGTGCAAGGTCCCAAGTTCAATTCCCAGTCCTCTCCACCAAAAAAAGGTACTTCAAAAAAAAAAAAAAAAATGTCACCCAACGCCTTGTACTATGCGAGTGTTTTACCTGAGCTGCTTCCCCAACCCTTCTTTTTTTAAAAACATAACACAAAACATTCACAATAATTCCTCAATGTCAACTACCAATAATGTCAATTATATTTATGCTTATAAATATCATGTTTGCTTGTTTGTTTGTTTGAGTCAATATTCAATGAAAGTCTACACATTATTTTTTACCAATTAATCATTTTTAAATGTTGACATATAATGTCCGCATGTATGGAGTACAGTGTGATAATTCCATACATCGTATTAGTGTAGATCATATTAAGGTAATTAACATTTCTCTCTCCTCAAACATTTTTATTGCTATGTGGGAAGGTTCAAATTTCTCCCTTCTAGTTTTTTTATTTTTTATTTTTTATTTTGATTTTGAGATCGGTCTCAGTATATAGTCCAGGCTGGCCTTGAACTATTCGTGATCCTCCTGCCTCCTGTGCACTGGGATTACAGGCCTGCACCACCATGCTTGGCTTCCTTTCCAGCTTTTAATAGAATATGTGAACTATGGTTGCTCTGCTGTGAACACTAGAACTTGCTCTTCCTGTGGAAGTATATTTGGTAGCTGTCACGTAGCCTCCTTCTATCCCCTTCCAGCCTCTAGTAACCATTATTCTACTCTCCCCTTCTATGGGCTTAACCTTTTTTAACTTTTGCTTGTTAAACACTGTGATTTTTAAAAATTTTTTAATTTTAAAGATAGTAAAATCCAACAAAACTAAACAGAACAAAGCCAATCAAAATAATGAGCAAAATCGGTACAGAACTTCAAAGCAGGATAGTAGGAAAACAGGAATAGCTATCATATTATATCTTGTTATTTTCACAATAGCTGTCCAATCCATCAGGTATAGCAAAATGAAACCAAAAACAAGGCAGAATAAAATCAATCAAAACAGAACTGTGAATAAGGCAAAACAATCAGAACAAAGCACAACAGTGGGAACAATATTGGAGTTCAAAGACAGAAGAAAATTCCCCATATTTGCTATATTAGTATATAATATAGCATCCTCCCAAAAGATGCTCAGACCACTGTCTCCAGGCCTGAAAAATCAACCAAACAATATTTAATTACTTTATGTACCTTAGTTGCTGTTTACTTAGCCTGTCCTCTGAGCCAGTCAGTTGCTTACGAGGAAAGTTGGGGGACAGACACAGAAACACTGTGATTTTAACTCCTAATGTTAACTATGATTTTAACTTGATTTTAACTGTGATTTTAACTTCTAATTTTCTATTAATTTATGAGTTGTCTCCCATTTTCTCCTTTACAATTTATTTGTTGAAGAAAGGTGATTCTTTATCGCTTGAAGTCCCCCCACAGTCTGGGTTTCTCTAAGTTTCTGTGGCATCTTTTAACAACAAGGAAGTATTCTGTCTCCAGCATTTCCTAATAGTAGGGAGTTGGATCCTATTCTGTCTTCACTTTGGACTGGGCCCCTTCTTCAGTGATTACCTTGTACAGCTCATCTTCAGATATTACCTGAAACTTACTTTATTTTTGATACTTACTTTATTTTTGATATAAGGTTTCAAAAATTTGCTAAATTGTCTAGGCTCAAACTTTTATCTTCCTGCCTCACCCTCCTAGAGTGCTAGAACTATAGGCATGTAACACTACAACTGCACCTGGAACTCTTGATAACAGCTTTGTTGCATGAAAATAATCAGATGGAGGATGCTATCAATTAAAAGAAACTTTAAAGGCTTATCAAACAACTGTATGTGAAAATCATTTAGGTCTCAATTTAAACCATTAAATTATAAAAACAAAATCAATATTTATAAGACAACTAGAAATTTGAACTGGATGTTTTTGCTTGTTGTTTGTTTGGGGTTTGCAGGGTTTTTGTTTTGGGGGGGGGGTTTGGGCACCAGGAACCAAACTCAGTACCTCACGCTTGCCAGGCAGGCATTGTACTACTGAGCTATAACTCTGGTCCTGAATGTTTAATAGTATCAAGAAATTTTATTATTTTAAACATGGTAATAGAATTACTGTTAAGAGTTCTTACTTTCAGAAAAATAAATACTTTTTGAAAGCTAGGTGTGGTGGTCAAACCTGTAATTCCAGCCCTCTGGAAGGCTGAGGCAGGGAAATCATAGTGAAACCCTGTCTCAAAAACAAACAAACAAATGAATAAATAAAACAGACATTTATGCTCTAATGGAGAATTCTCACATCCACAGAAATCCAGCTGTGGGTAGGATGGGTGCTCTCTCTCGGGAGCCTCCGGGGAGAATCCTGCCTACCTCTTCAGTGGCTCGTGGCCCAGGCAGGTCTTGTGCCTGCAAAGTTCCACCTCCATCCTTACATGACTTCTCCAAAGCTGTGAATTCTCTTCTTCTGCCTACATAAGGACACTTGTCATTGGGTGTAGGCCCACCTGGATAGTCTCAGTTGATCGCATCTTATTATCCTTGGTTGTATCTATGAAGACTCTTTTTTTTTTTTTAAGGTCAGGTTGATAGGATGATGGGGTTAAGATGTGGACTCGTGTTTTTCTAGATGTCTATGAGACAGATACAAATGTTCAGAAAGTTTTCTTTCATAACTCATGGCTATTAGGACTTGAGAGGCTGAGGCTGGGAGGCCAAGGCAGGAGGAGCCCCATGAGTTCAACGCCAGCCTGAACGTTATGGGAAACTGTCTCAAAAAAGACAAAAAATAACTCATGGCTGAACTGAAGCAAGTCTGGGATTTCCTTTCTCGCTCCCACAGTGAGGTGGAGGTGGGGAAAGGAGACCCTAATGACCTGATGCTTGCCTGAGCCTCTCTGGGCAGTGAATGGAGGGCGGGCAGTGGACACTAGCTTCCCTGTGGACAGCAGATTCTCTGGGGAGCCCGGCTGAGGGGATACTAGCTAGGAGGTGTCCCGCCCTCAAGCCAATGGCATCTCTTTCAGGAATTTCACATCCATCTTCTATCCTAATTATGGCAACTGTTACATCTTTAACTGGGGCATGACAGAGAAGGCGCTCCCCTCTGCCAATCCTGGGGCGGAATTCGGTGAGTGTTGGTTTGTCCTGAGACCAGAGCCAGGAGAAATTAAAACACGGACCATGTGGGCCTAGACTGAGACTGAGAGTTGAGCCGAGGCCAGCACAGGCAGGAATGGCCCTTGGGGAGCCTCTGCTATATGGCAGCAGTGAGCAAGCCAGGCTTTCTCAGCCATTCCCTTCCATGATGCTCAGAGCCCCAGCAGGAGCAGAGCTGCCTTATGCTGATGAGCAAGTGAGGTTTCCAAAACGATTTTGTTATGCTGAGAGCTCAAGCTCCTATGCCTGGGTCCTGTCCCAGCTCCACCACCTACTCACTGAGCTCAAAGGCTGACTTGTCAGAGCCTCAGTTTCCCCTTCAGAGACTAGCACATGGCAGCATATAGGGTACAGCTTGTGGTCACTGTGCCCTCACAGGATTTCAGTTGCTTCATCATGCCCAGAAAGGAGGACTCTATGCACACTGGACATGCCAGTACAAGATCACCCCGTTACGACTGGCACTTACCCTTAGTCTCTCTTGCTGGACAATTTTCTTTTTTTGTTTGGTTCTTGTTTTATGTATGTTTCGTTTTCAGCTGTACTAGGGGTTGAGCTCAGGACCTCACACTGAGTTACATCCCCAGTCCTTTATGTTTATATCTTGTGACAGGACTTCACTGAGCCACTAAGTTCCCCAGGCTGGGCTCAAACCTGTGAACCTCCTGCCTCAGCCTCACACAGAGTGCACCACCATATCCAGTTTATGTAGTTAGCTCATGAGGAGACAGAGTCACAGAGAGAGACGGGTTGAGTGAGTAAAGAGCTGCAGGAAGCAAGGAATGCTTGATGGCAGATACCCTTTCCTTGAGACCAGTGCATAGCCTGTGCCCTATAAAAGGCAGGTGAGCTCATGTTGGCTGTGGCTTCCGGGCTTGTATGCTAGACACAGGTTTGATAAGCCTTTCCTCCCACCCTTCAGGCTGGGACCTCACTGCCAAAAGGCAGGTTTCATGCAGTGACTTCTATCATGGGGCTCCTTGCCAATAGGGGAACAGTGGGCTGACACCTTTGCCTAGCCTTTGTTCCTGAAAACACTGTCACAAAGGTACCAGAACACTCACTTTACAGAGGCACAAAATTATACTGAGGAGCCAGCTGCCTCCTCCTCCACCTGAGTGACCACACCATGCCTCAGTTTCCTCATCTGCAAAATGGGGACAATAATAGTACTTATGCTCAGTGAGGATGCAATGAGATCATCGATAAGAAAGCACATCATTCGGCACTCAGCATGCAACAAGTGCTCTGTGAACTTCAGCCTGATTGTCCTGAGCTGGCGGGACTCAGCTCTAGCATCCATTTGGCTTGGGACTACATATGGCACATAGAATATTTGGTCTCATCCCTCAAGAAGGGGACAGTTGAGTGAGGAAGACAGACTGTAAGAGAAAAAAAATCACACAAGTGAGGCAAATGCTGAGAAGGGAAATCCCAGCCCTAGGGAAGGGTTTAACAAGGACCCTGGGCCACAGTACCTCAGGCAGTCAGGAAGCTTCCAGAAGAAGAGATCAGAGAGCTGGAGGAAAAGCAGGAGTCTAGGTGGATGGTGAGGATGAAGCAGCATTCCAGAGCAGGGAACAGCATTACGGAGATCCAGGGGCAGAAAGGGACACGAGAACTCAGAGGAATTTAGTGCCAACACTGGTGGCTTAGAAGGAGGTAGGTGGGCCTGTGGTACTTCCTAAACCTACCTGCTGTGCAGAAGAGATTATTTGGGGTGGAGCAAATCAGCCCAGGGAAGATATGATGAGGGCTTTGCAAAAGGCAAAAAGTGTGTGAGGTCTGTGGTTTTGCAAACTGGGTTTGCAAACTAGCTTCCTGGGCAGATCCTGGAGGCCCCTATGGCTGGAATGAGCTCGTCAAGTGGGTGGTAGGTCTCCCCTCTGCCTTGAATGCAGAACAAGCTCAGCAACCCTCAACCTGTCCTTCCTACAGGTCTAAAGCTGATCCTGGACATAGACCAGGAGGACTATGTCCCCTTCCTCACTTCCACAGCGGGGGCCCGGCTGATGCTTCACGAGCAGAGGACATACCCCTTCATCAAAGAGGAAGGCATCGATGCCATGTCGGGGACAGAGACTTCCATCGGGGTGCTGGTGGTATAGCTGGAGCCCAGGGGCCCAGGGTGGAAGCCCAACTGCCCCAGGGTGAACTCCTGCAGCCTTCAAGGAAGGGATCCACTCCCACCTCTCCCCTTCCCAGCCCTTTTGCCTCTACTTAAGTAGAAACCAAACTGGGTTTGGTTTCCCAAATCCCTGGGGCAAGCTGAGCCCTCAGGCACCTGTGGGACTTGCAGCCCCTTCCCCTTTCCAGTATCCCCTGTGCCCAGAGTTTGATGGGAATGAGGTACAGAGAGGGCTTTCTGGGGATGGCCAGGGGGCCCCATGAGTAATCTCTCCACACAGGACAAGCTGCAGCGCATGGGTGAACCCTACAGCCCCTGCACCATGAACGGCTCTGACGTTGCCATCAGAAACCTTTACAGCAGTTACAACACCACCTACTCTAGCCAGGTGGGCAGGCCATATTGATACCCTCTTGACCCTGATACCTTTGCTATGGCTTCCAGCCTGAGACCTCAAATCTCTAGGAGAGCTGGCCCCAGTAAGACTGGCTCTGCTGGAGTTTTAAATGTTTGTTAGTACATGTTTGCTCTACATAATAGTTACATGGCTTATGGGGGGCTTGGTATATGTGCATAACACATCTTAATGGTTCGGGGTTTTTTTTACTACCCTTTCCCCTCCCTCCACCTCTGGTTCCCCTTCCCATTTGCAGAGGATCTGCTGAATTTTTCTAGGTGGTCACAGAGTATGCAGGCCTGCAGAACTGGTATAATTCCCAAGTTCTCACAAAGGCCTAGGGCTGGCTCCCTCTCACTCTCATCCAGGCAGATGTGGCTTTGGGGACACCCAGGATTATACGGGATCTCACCCTGGCCTCTCCCGAGAAGAAAACAGAAACAACAGCTAACACAGTGGAGCTCTCACTGGTGTGAGATCCTGTGCTATGAGCTCGCACATATTACATCATTTGAACACTTCGTGAAGAAATAATATACTAATAATAGCAGCATTTGTTAATATATTAATCAGAGCAGGCTTGCTGCAGGCTGGGAAGGCATGATTGCAGGTATTTTACATATGTTACATCATGGAGTCCTTGCAACAACCCAGGGATATAGATGCTATTCTCATTACTGTTTTAGGAATGAGGAAATTGTGATTTACAGACCCCAGTCTCAGCACCTCATCAATTTCCTGGGAAGTCCCCTCTGTATCTGCCCTCAGTCCCTTTGCTGTGGCTAGAGGCTTCCCTCTTCTCCTGATTCCAAGGTCAGCCCTGTCCACTCCCAAACCCAACCTCATTAGAAATGGCAGAATGAATCATTCTAAAGATGGAAGAAATGACCAACCACTTGTTAATACTTTTCTCCCAGCACAGGCTGCGTTGGAAGATAAGGAAACCAAAGTAAATCAGAGGCAGCCTAACGGATGCACTTGCAAAGTTTTCTTTTGTGCCTCTCTTGCCACCTACTCACCGGCCCAAATGGCCCACCCTACACTGCTGGGCTGCTCTGGCCACCTCCTGTCTAGAGGATCTTGTTTTGGCCACGGAGAGCTCTGGGGACCTGCCAAGCCTCTGTGGGCCACAGGGAGATGGGAAACATGAAGGAGGAGGCCCCATCCCTGGAGGTTTTCTTCCTGGAAAACTTCAGCTCTTGTTCCTTCTGAGGCAGCAGCAGTGACCCAGGCCATGTCAACCGTTCTGGCCACTGTCCACCCCGGCCAAAGTCATAGAGCTGGGAATGGCACCTACTTTCCAGATGAGCCAAGGAGGTCCAGAAGTATGCAAGACACTGTCCCAGCCAACACTCCTACTGTGACCCCGGTTCTGGCTCCTCTGTGCCATGCCACTGAATCTTCCAACCTGTCATCTCCTGCCCACAGGGACCCCACAGACTCTTCAGGGAAAGACAGAGACAGGCCTTCTTAGGCAGGGAAGGAGCCAGCAGGAGGAGTGGGAAGAAGGGCTCGGGCAGCCTTAGGGAGGGTGAGGCAGAGGCTAAGAGGAGCCGGTAAGGATTGGAGCTAGGAACCCACATAGTCAGGACTTGGGGCCACGGCACAGGTGAAGTAACATGAGTAACAGCTGCTTCCTGAGCACCTGATGCTGCTCTGAATCGCCCGACCTCAGGAGGCAGGTGTGATGAGCACCTTGTTTCGCCATGAGTAAACTGAGGCTGAGACATTAATAACTTGCCCAAGATACATAGTTGGCCCCTGAGTGGACTAAACCAGATCACAATTACCTGAAAATCCAGTATATTGGGACTAGTGAGTGGAGACTCATCACATCCACTTCCCAGTGGGTAGGGGAGAGGCCTGTATCCTTTCTCCTCTCTCTCCCAAACAAGGGACAGTCTGTAGACCAGTAGTCTGGTCACTTCTTCTGTCATCATCTCTGAGAGGTCAAAGGAAGGTCGCCATTCTCCTCCTGTCCCTGGAGGTCCCTCCCTCCAGGAGGAAAGAGCTCAGGCCACCTCCCGGGGTCCCTGTATGTAGAAAGCTTGGAAGAGTGCTGGCACCCTGCAAACAGAGCTAAGCATTAGATTTACTGTTTGGGGAAATCCATCCTTATCCTTGTCATCTGGGAGCCCCAGTTTTAGACAGGGTATCTGGGCCACTGGGGTCTGCCCAGAGTCCTTCTGTAGGGTCCATGGACCTGCTATCTGGCCCATGAGAAAAGGACAGACACAAGAAAAGGACTGCAGGGTCCCTGGCTGCAGTTTGACCCTCTAGCCTTGGCCTCTTACCCAGGGCTTACCTCTCTTCAGCCCCAGCTCCCATGGCCTGGGTGTTGACTTTGCTGGGCTCTTGTTTCTGACACTGGCACGGGAACATCACCGGCCATGTCTGTGTTCTGTCCACCACCCCCAGGCCTGTCTTCACTCCTGCTTCCAAGACCATATGATCCATAACTGCAGCTGTGGTCACTTTCTGTACCCACTTCCCCCGGGGGCGAGATACTGCAACAACCAGGACTTTCCAGACTGGGGTGAGTGGGGTTCCTGCCAGCTGGCGTTACTGCCCATGCAGGCTTTGACCACGGTGCAGGAGAGTTCAGTGCCCTAGGCAGGGGCAACCTTTGCACCATGACCAGTCCTCCCTGTGATCCTTCCTAGGCTTATCTGCAGGAAGCCGGCTCTTCTTTCTTCCTCGACTCCATGAAATTCATACTTGAGAATGTAGGTTTGGGAGTGACTGTGGCCTCATGGACACATGTCTATGTACCACATAAATGTCTGCATGAGCATGAGCATGAGCCTTGGAATGTGGCTGCTGCGAGAATACACGTGTATACAACTGTTTTCAAATGCATGTGCAAAAGGCATGTTTGTGTTTGCATCTAAGTGCACAGGATGTTCCTAGGTGCAGTATGAGTCTGTGTGTGCATTTGTGTACCCTAGCTTAGGCACATGTGTATGTATGTGTGAAGGCATGCACAAGACCACATGTCCATCCTCAGAGTGTGTGTCCATCTCCATGTGAGCTCATTGGTCTCTCTACAGAGTGCTGGGCTTGGAGGGGAGATGGGGAAGCCACTATCATGATGTGGCCTCCAAGCACTTGGAACTTGAAATCACAAGAGGCTCAAGCCATGGAAGCTTTGGTGGCCCCAAATCCAAATGACAATGGATGCTATTACCAGTAGAGGGTCCTACCTCTTAAAATCAATGTAATCCATAGACAACAGGGAAGATGTTATCCCTTCCAGCCTCTCATCCCTTTGTACATGGCCCCACAACCTCATCTTTTAGGCAGAGATGCGGAGGATGTGCAAAGCGACAGCCACTATCACCTACTGAGCTGTCATAGCGGAGGCACCTCTAAACTGGACTGGACCAAAATGGCTGGAGATCCAGTGGGGGTGGGAGCAGTGCCTCTCCACAACAGAGAGCTTGGACAGAGACCCTCCTGTCCCCCACCTAACCACAGACTTAGGGGTCCCCAGGCCAGGGGAGTCAGCCAGAGGCTCAAAGCGGGAGGCGCAGAGCCCTGGAACTACCACAGGGCTCTTGACCATCTCCTCCTGTCCTGCCCAGCCTACTGTTACTTCAACCTGTGGATGAGTGTGACCCAGAGAGAGACGTGTATCAACATGTGCAAGGAGTCCTGCAAGTGAGTGTGGCCCCGGGGACACGTGCTACCACTGGGGCGGGGCACAAAGGGGACAGTGGTGGCAGTATAGCAACAAGGCCACCTTCTCTCTTCCAGTGACACCCAGTACACGATGACCATCTCCATGGCCGACTGGCCTTCTGAGGCCTCTGAGGTGAGATGGTGGAGGGTCTAGGTTCCTGGCCTTTGTCTTTGGGCAAGGACAACTCTGGAACTTGGAGAGGGACTTTCTCTCCCTCCTTCCCTTCTTCATTCCTTCCCTCCCTCCCTCTTTCCCTTCCTATTCTTCCCCTAATGTCCCCCCAGGCCCTGTGTCTGGATCACAGCAGTGCCTAAGACAGAGGCAATACGTTCGGAACTCGAGGTCTAGTTGGAGAAGGACAGTGTATCGAAAAATACTGTGAATGTTGAATTTTTTAATTTACTACATTAAAAGGCACTTGTAGTCAGGGGTTGTACACAGAGAACAATTCAGGTCAGGACATGGAGTTTATAATATTTTTATAATGGTCACCGGAAGTTAACACAGGAGAATGCAGGAAATCTATCTGCAACACCAAAGACATACATTATTTAGTCAAGAGTCTAAACCCCACGGCAATATCCCACATTGTGTCCCACATTGAATCCAGATAAAAACCCAGAGCTCAGGACAAGGCCTCCACAAGTTCAACTGGAAGTCCAAAGCCCACAAAAAGGACTCACGCCAGTCTCTTTTACGAATTCGTGCCGGGAAGACCCAAGAGTCAGCGGTGGAAGCCAGAAAGTCTACGCCAGCAGGATGAAGGAGCAGTGCTAGTGGGATGAGGGTTCTACAGTGGAGCCGAGAAGTCACACTCACAACAAAGAGCAGGGCTGTCCTGAAAGGCACCACAGCTGTCCTCAGCGACACGGAGGCCCCGAGCTCCTCCGACAACAAGCACAGTAGGGTACGTGCCAGGAAGCAGCATGACGAGTTCATCCTGGAGACCAGGCAGTACATGTCTTCCCCTCCGGAGCCAGGAAGCAATGCTTGATGTGAGGACCAGAGCTTCTCCAAGAGAACCAACAGCTCAGACAGCAACTCGTAGGAGAACCCAGAATGCCTCCTTAACACCTCAATCCCTCCCAACATCTCTCTTCTTCTCCACCTATTTATCCTGGCAGCCCTCAGGTGGAGCATCTTCTCTCAATGCCATGCTGATGTAATCCAGCTGGCGTTAAGTTGACCACCAGTTTTCAAACCATAACAGCACTTTACTGGTTAATCTCCCCCCAAATATTCCCACATACTTCAACATACTTTATTGTTTGTTTGCTTGTTCATTTTGTACTGAGATTAAACTCAGGACCTTTGCACTGAGCAGGATCTCACTTAAATTGCCTGGGCTAGGCTTGAACTTGCAATCCTCCTGTCTCAGCCCTCCCAGAGTACTAGAATTAGAGGTGTGTGCCATTGTTCTCACCACTTTCTGAAACAGTTCTAGAAGTCCTCTTTTGTGAGTATCTTTAGTTGCACAGTCATGGCTACCTTCGTGTCCTAAATTGATTCAAAACATTTACCTTTCACGGTCATTTTGACTCTGAGGAAAAGTCAGAAGTTACACGGTGCCAGAGCTGGTGAATAAGTTAATGAGGACACACCGGATGTGTTAAAGAGCTTGCCTTCCCACTGGATGACAATCAGCAGCAGAACCCAGTGTATTTCTCGCGAACCTTTTAAAGCCATTCAGGAAAGAGGACTTCGAGAACTGCTTCACAAAGTGGAAAGAACAATGCAATAAGCTTTAGAAGTGAGGGGAAATATTTTGAGGCATTTAGTGGCAATGTTCCTTTGTAACACATTTTTTAATTTAAACATTCACCATTTTTCCACCCCTTGTACACATATAGAAATAATTTCAAAGTATGGTCATGGTTATGAAGGAAATTGACAGGATTATGGGAAAGTGACAAAGGAAGCCTCTTCAGGGGTCAGGAAAATCCTTTTTAAAAGGCAGCATTTGAACCGAGACCCAGAGGCTGGGCCTGCTGTGGGCAGAGCCAGCGAGGACTCTGGGAACAGCAAGTGCACTGGCCTGAGGTGGAAACCCTCCTCTACTAACAGTAGCACAGCTCCCACTATGATACTCTTCTTGCCTCCTGTCCCAGCCTGTGGTCCTCCAGGGCTTTGGGAGGTGCTGGGCTGTGCTCTATTTTGCCAAGGGCCATGACTGGGAGGTGAGGTGTAGGTGACACTTTCTTCAGCTACTGTCTTGGGTTTTAGGACTGGATTTTCCACGTCCTGTCTCAGGAGCGAGACCACAGCACCAACATCACCTTGAGCAGGTAAGCCTGGAGTCTGGGATAGGCTGAGAAGGCACAAAAGAGAAGGAACCAGAGCCTTGGGTGGAGTTCAGGTATCAGATACCTCCTCCTACTGGCCAGCTCCAGGAAAAGGGCCTGAGAGTGACAAGGAGCAAAGGTAGCCAAGGGGGATTCAGAGTCCTGAAGGAGAAAATACCCTTCCATCTGTCACCTGTCCATCTACCCACCCTTCCACCATCCATCCTTTCATTCTTCCACCTATTCATGTATCTGCCCATCCATCCATCCATCCATCCATCTAACACTAACATATATTAAGCATAAGGACTCAAGAGCCACACCACCAGGAAGCCTGGAGGTGAGCAGATTAAAAAGAGATTATAGGAATGTGGGTCTGCACAGGTCCTTCCCTTGTAGGAGTGGCAAGGGGAAGCCTCAGTACCTGAGAGAAAAGGGAGGTCTGTGTAGGGACTTTGAGAAGTAAATACATAAAAAAGAGGCAACAATGTCCAGGTAGAAGACATAGTTTGGGCAAAATCCCCAAAATGTGAGATGTCAAGGTCTTTCTGAAGACCCCCAGGTGTGAGGGGGACCTCTACTTGGTCACCATCCTCTGCCCCAGGTACCATTATCAGATGTACCCAAGACTGCAGCATTTTGCAAAGTCACTGCTTAGGACTGGGCCTCTCCAGATCTGAGGAGAGAAGAGTTCAGGATTGTTGTTTTTTTCCGTACCAGGGATGTAAACCAGGGCCTTGATTATAAGTATGAATATGCCAGGCAAGTCCTTTACCACTGAGCTACACCTACAGCTCAGAACTGATCTTTGGGGTCTCAGGCCAGAGTATCCTTTACAGAAGTGGTAGAAATAGGATTGAAAAGGAGATCTATGAAATGTGTGCTGAGTAGAGATACTGTAGTGGCCCCCCAAGACCCAGAGGGGATGAGAAGGAGAACACATTCAGTTCTAGTTTGGACTTCATCATTCCTTGGAGTGAATGGAGTGTGGATGGATAGATGGATGGATGGATGGAAGAGTAGTAGGGTGGATAGCAGAGGCACAGGTGGATGGGTCAATGACTGATGGAGGAGGACATGTCCTTGGCTGCCTTTGCTCACTCTTACTCCCAGGAGGAGGAGAAGGAGGAGGGTGGGTATGGCCTTCTGGCTGCCCTTTGGGGTGTGTGTGTGTGTGTGTGTGTGTGTGTGTGTGTCCCACAGAGACTGTCCTCGGCTCCAGCCCTTCTTGCTGCCTTCTTCAGGAAGGGAGTTGTCAAGCTCAATATCTACTTCCAAGAATTCAACTACCGCACCATTGAGGAATCAGCAGCCAATAATGTGAGTCTGGGAGGCTCGGATCCTGCCCTTCTCACCCCTGGCCCTGAGGGTAGGGATTAGGAAGGTCCCTAAAGCAGTGCCAGGTTACTTCCGTGGGCTCAGATGGTCACCTCTTCCACTTCCCACCCATAGTCTGTTGCCCAGTGACTCCCAGGGCTGGGCTAGAGGCAAGAATTTGTGCCACTCTTACCCCAGCCAGGGCCTCAGCTCCCCATTCTCCACAGATCGTCTGGCTCCTCTCAAATCTGGGTGGCCAGTTTGGCTTCTGGATGGGGGGCTCAGTGCTGTGCCTCATTGAATTTGGGGAGATCATCATTGACTTCATGTGGATCACCATCATCAAGCTGGTGGCCTTCTTCAAGGGCCTACGGCAGAAGCAAGCCCAGGCTGCCTACACTGGCCCACCACCCACTGTGGCTGAGCTGGTGGAGGCCCACACCAACTTTGGCTTCCAGCCAGATACCACCAACCCCAGCCCCCACGTGGAGGCCTACCCTGATGAGCAGACCCTGCCTATCCCAGGCACCCCACCCCCCAACTATGACTCCCTGCGGCTGCAGCCACTGGACACAATTGAGTCAGAGAGTGAAGGAGATGCCATCTAGAGCTCATCCTTGCCCACCCCAGGCAGCTCAAGAACTTGAAGCTAAGAAGTTGAGACCACGGCTAAGCACCTCATTCTATGGTGCCCTCTCCAAAGAGCCGGGGCCATATGTGCCCAAGGTCAAAGCCTGTTTCTCTACTGAGAGCCCGTCAGTCACTGGCCATTCCCAGGCCAATGTCTCTGCAGATCACAGTTCTCATCTGGTTCCTGCACACCAACTGCCCTGCCATCCAGACCACAGAAACCCATGGTGGCTGGCCACTTCCCTGCTATTTCCAGGACTGTTAGCGCCAGGGATGAACTGGCAGGCACATTGTCCTGTCCGTTCCACTTGGCTTAGCTGGCCTCTAGCAACCGGGTTTGTGAGGACAACCACAGGAAAAGCATCAGGTGAAGGGCTTGCTGGGGGACATACATTTTGTTTTGGAAAATAAAAGTAGAAAACACTGAATGGAGCTTTTTTCTTTGTCAGCCTGGGCAGTCAAGCATCCTGACACATGCCTGGGGCTGGAAAAATATTCACACTGGTTTGAGAGCAAATGTCTCTTAGGCAGTCTAAGGGGCAAATTTCTGTTGTGATTTTACAGTACCTTTCAAGTTGTTTCTGAAGCAGGGGCCTAATGGCTTTTCAGTGCCACCCATCATGCTTCTTTGGGTTGCAAGGCCAGAGAGACTCAAAGCGGCTTATGCAAAGTAGTCTCAGTGCATTCAAATGATTCAGCCTGTCTGCTACTGCCAGATCCCAGGTTGACACTCACTGGTTCCCAACTGGATCACATGCCTGTCTCTGAACCAATCAGCAGGGCTAGCTGGAGAGGCTGCTTGGATTGGTCAGACCTGAATATATCTGTTCAGACCTGCAGCTACTTTGGCACCCAGCAAAATCACATAAGGTTGGTGAGGACACAGCTCTTAGGATCGTCAGATAAAATTCAATCTGTTTAATCTTGAATTTCAGATAGATAAGAAGTCAGTGTTTTAGTACAAGTTTCCAGGCAACATTTGAGATATACTAAGTCATTTAGTTTTTTCTGAAAATTCAAATTTAACTGAGTGTCCTAGATTTTTCATTGATAAATATGGTAAAACATTACTGGGAGATAGGGAGCTGTTCCCAAAGAAAAAGATCTAGCAGTGCAGAGCCGAGCTTTGTAGCACCCTTCTACCCGCCTAGCAGAACCCCAGTTTTGATGGAGATGTGGCTTCAAGTCCTGCTCACCTCCAGGGCTCACACTTGCTGCTAAAGATAAGCTGATTTGCTTGGTCTGAAAGACAAACTCTCTGATCTCCCATCAGGTGTCCACGGTGAGCCCTGCAGGTGGTGCCACAGTTTGTGGCAGTCTGGTCCAAGGCAACATGGCTGGGGGCTAAGAAGCGAGGGTTTCCCAGCTCAGGATCCAACTCTTGGCAGTTACCACCTTTGACTACCAGTTTCATTATTTGCAGTGATAGATGTCACACACTCACTACCACCATCTGCTGTTGTTATTAAACAATGGTTACACTACCAAGTACCTGCCATGTTAGGCCCCATGCTAAGCGATTTACAAGTCTTTATTTCATTCATTTTTTCCTCAAACCAGGGAAAATAATATCACCTCATTTTATAGGTGAAGTAAGTGGAAGCTTAGAGAGATAAAGTAAGGTACTCAAGGTCACTATTCTAGTGACTGCCATGATTTGAAGGTCTCTAAAACTCGTCTTGAAACTTAATCCCCAAATATGTATGTTAGTGGTGTTAGAAGGTTTTGTCTTGAGGTAACTGATATTACAGTCAGAGGTGGGGGCCCAATGATGGTATCAACAGCTTTATAAGAAGAGGAAGAGAGACTTAAGTTCACACGCTTGCTGTGTCCTGCTATATGATATCTTGCACCATGTCATGACGCAGCAGGAAGCCATCCCCAGATCTCAGCCTCAGTATCTTGGACTTCTGGCCTCCGGAACCTTAAGCTAAATAAATTATGCTTTCTGTGACACTTCATCATAGCAACAGCAACAGACTAAGACAGCAACCGAGCTAGGAGCAAGACCCTTCTCTGTTGGTGCCAATGGTTAAAATAATACCAGTCCCTTACAGGAGTACAGAGCTTTTACACTTACTATATTATGGAGCAGGCCATGAGACAATTATTATCAGCCTGTTTTGCCGTCCTTGGTCACATGTCAAGTTAAGCCAGATTCAACTACAAAAAGTATTTACTAGCTCTTAGAGTAAAAGCCCTACGAGCCCCAGAATAGCTGCATGCACGGTTCCCCTAGTCCAGGCTGTGTCTGACTTAAAGGTATTCTGAAATTGATTCTTTCCACCTACTGTTTTTCCCAAACATCTCTGTACATCTCTCGACCAGCCTATCTCCCTCTGCTTAGCAACAGAGGGAGGAAAACTTCCCTCCAGGGTTCCAATGAAAGCTCTAAGGATGGGGTTAATTTGGATCCACCTGGCCAACATGCTTATCTTGAACTGGTCACTGTGATGGGGATGGGTGTGGCTGACTGGCCCACTCTGGGTGAATCCATGGAGGTCAATTGACAGACACCTGGAAGGGTCTGAGACATTGTGGAGTTGCCTATGGATGTGTGAAACTGGAAGTGTGCTATTCCTTGCTCTTGGGGGAACATCATGGAGGACCAAGCTATGGAACAGTGATCTCCACACCTAAAGCCTAACTCTGAATCAGGCATCCCAGCATCCCTCTTTTCTGGACCTGGATAGAGAAGTAATTCTCTAATTCCTACCTCTAGTCCAAAAGGGAAGCTGGGTTGCAGGTGCTATAGAACTAGGAAACAAACACTGACCATGAACTTACCACATGCTGTCGCCTCACTGTATCTCAATGGCTGGTTGAATAATCCTAGTTGAGTCTTATTTGACCCCTGTTTCAGATTAGGAAATGTGGCACAAAGAAGTGACTTTTCTGGGATCATTCAGCTGACAGGTGGTGAATCCTCAAATCCAGCCCAAGCCTATTCTCTCGAAAGCCTAGTGGTTCTTACAACAGCAGCAAAAAGGCCACCACAAGTTTCCAGTTTTCAGCACCACATGTCACTGTCTAGGTTTCTAGCTGTCATTTACTCTTAGCTTAATTCCTACCCAAACCTATAACCCACCACACAAGAAACCAAAGTATCTTTCTTAGCATGGATTTATAGTTCATCCTGTGTCAGGACCAGCCAAACTGGGTCCTAGGATGCAAGGCCAGCCCCAGTGGAATACCAGCCCTGGTAGCCTGGTAGGGTATGGCATGAGCAGGCTGACTTCTGGGCTCAGGGGTCCTGCTGTGTGCTCCTAGATGTTGCACAAAGACAGCTGCAGGCACCGGGCTAACAGTGTGGATGTCACAGTCGCCAGTCCCTTTCCAAACCTCACTCCTGCCATGTGGTGGTTGAACAACCTCAGGAAGATCCTAAACCTCTCCAACTGGCAGGGCTTTTGTGAGTGCAATGAGGCCCTGGTACCTAAGAAGTACTCAATTCCAATCAATGGCCCCAGTGACAGATACTGCATTTATTCCCCATCTCCCTTGCTAAGAAAACAAGTTGTGTTTAGGTAGCCACTGGGCCAGCCCAGGCACTAAATCCTGATTGGCTTAAACCAGTATTCCCCAGGATTGAGGTAATTTGTCCCTCAGGCAATGCGTGGAGACACTTTGGGTTGTCATAGCTAGACTTGTAGTACCGTTGTCTGGTGAGTGAAATCCAGACACACAGAGATGCACCCTACAACGTGTGAGACAGCTTTGCAGCAAGGAGTTCTTGGGCCCAATAGCGTCAGGCTGAGAACTGGGCCTGCTCTCCACTCTTCCAGCATCCCTTGCAGCTGGGGGATGAACCTGGTCATCAAGAAACAGTACAGCCTAGAGGAAGGTGAGCAAGGATGGCTAGGACAGAGTTGCTCCTCACATCCCCTCCCCACATTTTCCCCTAAACACGGGTGCAACACGTGCAGCTATAAACAGTCACGTTTGCCAAGCAGGCACCCAGCACCAGGAAGAATCAGTACTGCAGAGGCTGCTGATGCTCCTGACTGTGCTACTAAATCAGTTCCTGGCCCAGTCCCCTGATCTCACTCTTTGGCTTCTCATTCTTGAGAAAAATTAATTCCTATTTGCTTAAGTCACTCAAATGACATTACTTTCTGTTACTTATGTTAGGTACAATCTAAACAGAAGATACTGAGGAAAAAATGGACAAAATTCACATCATGTGATGGTTTGTTGTTTTGTCTCATTTGCATTACTTTGGATTAAATCCAGGGCCTTCACATCAAGCTACATCCCCAGAACTTATTTTTTATTTTGAGAGTCTCACTAACTACTAAATTGCTCAGAAAGGCTTGCACTTGTGATCCTCTTGCTTCAGTCTCCCAGGATGCTGGGATTATAGGCGTGTGCCACCAATACCTGTTATCCCATAGACTTTTGAAATGAAAAAGTAAAAGCCCACATCCTGACCATGGCCTGCAAGACCCATCTGCTCTGGCCCCACTTCCTCTCCTCCTTCCTCCCTCCCTCCAGGCACACCCTCCACTGCAGCAGCTGCAGCTGACTTTAGACATGCCTCAGGGCTTTAGATATCCTGGGCTGGAAGGCTCCCACACAGCTCTATGCTGCTCAACTTCACCCTTCAGGTCTGGGATACTCACTCTCTAAGCAGTGTCATCTTCCACTCTGACACCCTTTCCCTGGGCTCTTTTACCTGTTCACCCACTCACTGCTTCTCCTTCCTGTGCCCTCTCTCACACAGTGCGGCCTTGACCTCCTTTACAGGCATGTCCCAGTCACTTAGTACTGGGTGGTGGCATGGGGATGCACTCAAATATCTACTGAAGAAGGAAGGGACAAAACAGACTTCTTTCATTTCTGTGTTTAATTCTGCCTTAAGGATGAAGTCATTTTTTTAAAAAATCACCTGAAAAGTCTTTTCTAATAAGTCACATACCTCTTGTTTATAATATTGCTTTGACTGTACAGAAAAATCCAAGTCTTTTAGAGCAAACTCTACTGAGTCGTTGGCGGCTGTTGAGATGGAGTCCATTCTGGAGTCACCACAGCTGCAGGGCACCAGCCCTGACCCTCTTCTCAGTTAGTAATTCACACCCCTCATGGCAGCCACTGTGGTGGCGAGGCGGCGTGGCAGGCCTTTGCTGAGCTGCCTGTAATCCTCAGGCTTGGCCTTCAAGAGCGTCACAATGTTCTGGAGCGTGCGGGATGGCTGCAGGCCCAAGGCATCCATCACGTTGATGAGATAGTCTGAAGGGTGTGGAGGAAGCAGACTCAGCAGCATGCTGGGTGAAGCCCCGAAGGTCTCCTCGAGTAAGAAAGAGGGCAGCCTTCTGGTTCCCAAATACTGGGCACCTGCTCTGCCTCCAGCAGATAGGCCTTTGTTTGGAGGGCTTTTCCAACAGGGTAAACTGCACTGTGAGCTTGGCCCAAATCCAGGAATTCTCACTTAATAAAGGACAAGCAACACCACCACCACTCATCAGCACACACAGGTACACATGCAGCACACACACAGGCACACCCATGCCTTCTGTGCCAGTATGATAGATGGCTGAACTCACCCATCTCTGATGCTCTGGGGTTCCCAGCCGGCTACCTTGTGTATCCTTAAGCATGTGAAGAACCCAAGGGGGCTAGGGACACACAGGCTTGTCTGAGTAGCTATCAAAGCCTTCCCAACAGAACTTTACAATGATGACAAAGGCAGTGAGTGAGGCCTGGTATAATGCAAGCTGTGCTTCCCAGATAACTCCTCAGGGAACCAGTTAAAGGGCTAACTTCTGAGTCCACCACCACAGCAAGTCAAGGAGAATGTCCAAAAGAGGACTCTAGGGTCAGCCACTCTAAAAGGTGGCACTAGGGATTCTGGTACCAAGCTACTTGGTTAGCCCTGTAGAGTGGAGGAGAAACCCACCCAGCCAGGGAGGAGTCTTTCCACCTGCAAGTCTTAGCCCCCACCTGCTGATGCAGCTAGAACTCAGCAGGTGGCAAAGGTGGAGAGAAATGGGACAAAGGACACCAAAGCAATCTGATCGCACTACTGATCAATAACTGATTGAGTTACTGATCCTCCTTCCTGGGCAACACAACCCAGGCCTTCCGGTCATTTCCAGCTTTTCCTTCATCTTTCTCTGAAGGACTGTAAGGAGACACTGCCCAGGGTATCCCCTGCTACTTTCTAATCACTGCCTAGGTTTATCTCTTCTCCGTGACCAGACCAAAAAGTCCTGGATCTTCTCTGTGAATCTCGGCTCAGGGCTGGCCCTGGAGGTAGCAGTGTCCAGTTTGGTTCACGTCAACTCAGGATAAGCTGATTTCCAGGGAAGAGGTACAAACATGAAGGCATCTTCCCCTTCACCAGTTTACCATTAACCCCATGAGCTCCGCTTGACCCTCAGTGAGATGCTGTAAATGGGAGCATCTGACCCACCATGACATTTTTTGCTTGGCCAGCAGAGTTGTCTGTTCTCTGTGTTAGTGCTTAAGTTAAATGTCTTCCAGGTAAGTGTGCAATCTACAGACCTCCACTGTCTTTCACCCAGGCAGCTTCACACATTAGCCTTACCTTCCCAGCTCTTAGCTTCATTCCCTTACAGTATAAATGCAGTGAGCAAAGGAACTATCTAAACTTGGCACTATGGCTGGCACACAGTAAGTGCTCTATCAATGCTGAATGAGTGAACAAATCAATCTAGAGCTTAACAGAGTAGGAGGCAGAAATAACACCAACAACTAAAATCTAGGGGCCATCCTGAATCCCACTTCACTCCCTAGTTCCAGCTGGCTCTCTGCCACATATTCCTGGCCATGCTAACAGGGAATCATGACATTTGAATTTCCTCGTTTCTCTTCTCTTAATGCTGGGCCCCGAGAAATGGGAAAAAATCTAGCTGCTCCTCTGACAACTACTAAGAGCTGACTATGAAAAGAGGAGGGTTGGGGAATCAAGAAAGCTGAGTTTCCAGCCTGGCCCCATGGCTCGCCACTCTGGAATCTGAAGTGTAACGCTCACTTCTAACCTTTTGGCTGCAAAATGAGGCAGAAGTTAGCCAATTCAGCCTGCTGCCAGTCAGCTAAAAATGCTGCCTGGTCCCCAGGGTGTTGATCTTTAAGGCTCCTTCCCCACTCTCTCTACCACTCTTAGAGGTGCTTTGGGCTCAGGACAAGCAACAGTAGGAAGACACCTGGAACCTGAGATTCCTCTCCACCTGCCAGCAGCATCCCCAGCTCAGAGCAGTGAGGGCCTGCAGCAAAAAGTACACATGGCCCTCTCACTGGAGAACAGGCTGGATGCTGACGGAAACAGAGTGGACTTAGCCACCAGGCCTTGTTTCGCAAGAGCACCTACTGCACAGAATTACACAAGGCAGAGGGCACGAGGGCCTGGTTCAGTGCCAGGCATGCCTGGTATGCAGAAAGCGCTTAATAGGTGGTAGTTAGTAATTATTCATATCAGTGGTGCAGAAGGCCAGGAACAGCCTGCTGCTCCCTCACTGCAATTCAGCTCACTGAAGCTCTCCTTGATGGGTCTCAGCCTCACAGAAGCTTAGCAGAATCCCCCTCAACAATATTCAAAATATATGTAGACAGATTAAATCAGAATCACTGTGATAGGGCCTGGAGAATCTGCATTTTTAATTGACTTCATGGCCAAACCCAGACTTGATGGTAAAAGGAGCCATGGGATAAATTTCTAGAGGCCGAGGGGGCAACGACAGTTGCAGCACAGTTCCCCTCCACCTGGCCCCTGGGTACTCACCAATATCTGTGGCCAGCTGCTTGGTAGAGTGTGGGGTCAGCTCCGGGATCTGGAGAATCACATCGCAGTACGTTTGCATCGTGGCTCTGGCAATTGAGCCCAGCCAGTTGTCAGCCATATTGTCCAACTCAGGCAGCTCATCCCCTGCAACAGAAAAAAAAGTCACCCAAAACACACGGAACTCACTCTATTGGGCAGCCTGATCCACAACATGGGCTGTGCACACAAACATGCTTGTAGGGAACACCCATATATGATCTAGTCTCCATGGGAAAGAAACTCCAGAAACAGAGATAATGGAATCCTATCTGCTGGTCCTGATCTAAGCTTTTGCCTATGATTTAAGGAATAGACCATAGCCATTTGCAAGTGAGCCCAAGGCAGCCTCTACCTAAGTACACCCCACAGTGTGGGTGCTTCCTATGTGAGCAAAGTCTGCACCAGTCACAGATGAACATGAGTGGGGGAGCCCAGAGCCACTGCAAGCTCGACGCCTACCCTGGGCAGCACTTCCCTCCTTGGCCCAGATCTGATTCCTGCTTCTCAGCACTTCCTGGCCCACACACAGTCAGTTGGTGATACCACTGAAGAAGATGACCAGGACAAGGACATAGTTCTGAGGGTTCCTACAAATGACTGTGATATAACTCAGTTTGTGCATGCATGCATCAGAGAGGAGACAGACAGACAGATCTCTAGGATAACTTTACTAAAGTTCAAGTCCTGGGCAAAGGACTTAGAAAAACCTTCATTGTATCCCTTAGAAAAAACTATTTAACCTAAGCCACTAGTTCCTATTGGCTAGTGACCATCTGGCTCTTATAACCTGCAAGGTTAAAATGCTAGAAATTAAGAAAAAATATATATAAATAAATAAATGCTAGAAATTACCAGATTGCATATCGATGTTCACTGTATAATTCTTTCCAATTTTGAACAGAACTGTTTGCAATCTCACTGTTTGAATGTCCACTTTGTATGCTTTAATTTTGTAATTTGAACAACTATTTCTAAGATGACAATATGTAATCTATTAACTAGTGATTTCTTACTGTATATGTTTTTTCTTGAAAGTCTGTATTACTTGTACCCTTTTACTGTTTTGTTTTGGGTTTTTTTCTCTTTAAATAAAAAAAAATTGTCATAATAAAATGTCAAGATGGGGAAAAGAAAAAAGACATACCTGGATTGGCTGCTGTTGGTGTTCTTATGTTTTCAACCATTTTTGAGGTTCACTCTGTGCTTAGGCCCTCTCAACACTGCCCCACCCAGTACCAAGCACACAGTAAACAATTAGTAAGCCTCTGTTAAGTGAATGAGTAAATGAATGCTTGAGTAAAAACAATTACATGCTCACTGTATCCGTATGTATTTTAGTGGGACAAGAGGACACTATGTTCTTCCTGATATGATGCACGAGACAGTATAATGGTATCACAAGCTTCTTGGAATCTGAGCCAACAATTAATCATTACCAATAAGTGACACATAATAAAGCACTTATGAGTGAAATAATATGATATCTGAGATTTGATTTAATTGCTCCACCAAAAAAAAAGTGAGGGGAATATAAAAACAAGAAGTTATTCTTGAGGTTGGACTACTCTGTATATGTGTACTAAATTCCTATGGAAAAAACTGTTTAATGTAAAAGGCATATTAAGGAACCGGGAGTGTAGCTCAGAGGTAAATGTATGATTAGTCTGTACAAGGGCTTGGTTTGATCCCTAAAAACTTCCATTAATAAATAAAACTGAAAAATTACATTAGTAAATGGGTGAAAAAAATCAGTTAATATAACCTCGTAGCCCTTCAATAATGATTATTGACATTTTGGTACATGTGTATTTTTACACATAACAGAAAAATATATTCTTGTTTTAAAAAATGCAAACAGTACAGAAATTTAATGAGTAAAAGGAAATGCCCTTCATGCCTTTGCCCCCTCTCTGCCTACAGTAGCCTCATTCTCAGGGCAGAAATGTTCTTCTAGACCTGTTTCCGTGCTTTTACATGAATATGTAATGCATGAAATGAAGGTTTTTCAAGACATAAAGATTATTATGCATTATTTTGCACCTTATTTTCTTAACAATATTTTTGCAGATCTTACTTTAAGTACAAATAATTCTCCTTTCTTATAAAGAAAATGTATAAATTATGGAGACATCACATAATACCTAATTACTTCCCAGGTAAGAAGTATCTGCATTGTGTTGAACTGTTTGCCATTACAAACAATACAGCAAAGATCCTCCTGTGCACCTCTGTGGGTTCAAAAATGTAGATTTCTCTAGAATGAACATGTGGGCCAGGAGCTATTGGGTCCAAGAGGGTGGGTGTACTTTGATTCCTTATAAAGATAACAGCTTTACCAATTTACTCTCCATCAACAGGGTCTTATCTTTCATTTGCTTTTTGTTTAAATCATAAGGTACTACATTGTACATATGGTATATAAAATGGACCACACATTTTAAAGAATAACCATAAAGTTCATGCCATGAAATACCTTTTGAGAAAGAGAAAGAGAAAGGTACATGCTGGTGCCCAGGAGCTTCACATGCCCCTACAGACACACACAGGGTCCACTACCCAGGCCTGATGGCCTTTTCCTACCCTACCCACCGCCTGTCCCCACACATGAACTCCAAGTGTGCTATCTAGCTTTGTAGCTTCTTTTTGTCTCATTTCTTTGGTTCACCAACGTGACTGTGAGATTGATCCATGTCGTTTTATATCTACAGTCTGTTCCTTTTTCATATGATATATGGTGTCACTGCACTGCCATACTATAAAGTATGTATTTTATTCATTTTATTGTTCATGGACATATGGGTAGCTTCCAGACTGGAGCTATTACCAAGTCACTATGAAGATCCTTCTAGAGCTATGTAGGATACATGTGGAGAGGTTCTAGGGTCTATATCTAGGAATAAAACTTGATGGACCAGAGGATAGTAAGAACATCATTGCTTTTTCTAGAAATGGAAAGCTTTTCTTAAAGTGAACATGCCAAATTATAGTTCTCTAGGTTCTTCTTCCTGCATTTATAGCCAAAGTAGCTTTTAAAGTGGATTCATACCACATACATGACTTTATAACCAATCTTCACATTTAATATGCTGAGAACATCTTCCCAAGAGATTAAATAGTCTTTTATAATACTTTCATGGCTGTGTAGTATTTTATTGTATGGATGTACTAATAAAATCTAATTTATACTTTCTCATTTTTCAGTGTATAACTTTTATAAGTGATTCACTGATTCATACTTGTAATTACTTTATTAGCATAATTATCTAACAGAGTGTATAACCTAAAATGTATGCATATCATTAAGGCCTTTGACCTTACGTCAAGTAACAATCCCAAAATTCAAACTGTACAATTTAAACTGTTTCCTTCATTGTTACCAATATTAAATATAATCATTTTGCTATAAATACAGTGTCCCTTAGTATCTGTGCACAGTTGGTTCCAGGACCACCACAAGTACCAAAATGCTCATGTCCCTTATATAAAATGATTTGCCATTTGCATGTAACCTATACACATCCTCCTACTAAATTATCTCTAGATTATTTACAATACCCAATACAATGCAAACACTATGCAAATAGTTGTTACAGTTTTGTTTAGGGAGTCATGACAAGGAAAAAAAGGTACATGTTTAGTAAAAACCTAATTTTTTTCAGAATATTTTTGATACATGTTGATTGAATTCTTAAATGTGGAACTCTTATAGAAGGCTAATTGTATGTATATATACAATTCAATCATTTATGAAATAGTATATCTATTCTCATGTGCAATTATTTGAAGATTAATAAAGTTAAACATGTCTTCATGTTTCTTTTAGATTATGTGAATGCTTTCATGTTATTTACTTATTTTTCTATGGGGCATTCATCTTTTTTATTAAATTAATAGGTAAAACCTTTATAAAACCGCTGGTCATAAATGTTGCTACTTCTTCCAGTTTATCATTTACTCTTCAACTTCCTCTACAGTTTCACTGTAAAAGATCTCACCAGATGTGGTGCTGCACACCTGCAATCCCAGCACTGGGGAAGCTGAGGCAAGAGGATCACTACGGGTTCAAGGTCAGCCTGGGCTACCTACTGAGCTTAAGGCCAGCCTAAACTACATAGTGAGAGCCTGCCTCAAAAATACAGATACAGATACAAATCAGATACAGATATAGATATGTAAAAATAGGTCTCCCCTTCCTTACTCCTAAGATTATATTACTAGTCACTCATATTTTAGCTTAGCAAGTTTTACATTTTACAGTCTAACCTGTAAAAACTTGTCATTTAAAAAAAATATGCATGTCCTTCATGTTTATGATCTTATGAACCTTACAGAAGTTTTGTCTGTAACACTGCCATTTTCTGGATGTTTATTTTTGTTTTTGTTTTGAGATAGTGTCTCACTATGTAGTTCAGGCTGGCCTTGCACTCACTATGTAGCACCAGCTGGACTTCAACTCACAGTGATCCTCCTGCCTCAGCCTCCTGTCACCACGCCCAGCTTGTTAATGACATTTTTGCAAATGATTTATGAGAATTTGACAATAATGTCTATTATCTGGGGATAAAAAGTTTGATTTGTTGATTAAATCAAGCATGCTGATTATCCTGCTCAGTCTCTCTCTGATGAGGTCTATGTTGTTCAGGACAGTCTAGAACTCCTGGGTTCAGGCAATCCTCCCACCTTAGCTTCCGGGACTACAGACACATGATATTCACTCAGGTCAATTCCTCATTCTTTCTTTATTACTTTTTTTTATCTGTTAAATATAAAAAGGAAATGTTTCTTCAAGGTAATGTAGTTCTGCCAAATACTTATCACATTATCTGACAGCTGCTTCTTTTTATATTTCAGTGCTGTTACTTGACACTGAAAGGTGTGTGACTGTTACAGGTTCACTATGAGATCCATCTTTTAGCAACATAAAAGAATCGTTTTGGTCCCATAGTAATACCTTTGATTTAAAGTGACTTCATCTTATAGTAATACAATCATCCAGCTTTCTTTTTATTTATTTGCATTTACACAGGATATTTTTTAGCATGATTCTATTTAACATTCTGAGCTGATGTTGTTCTTCAGTGTTGCAACTCCCTATGAACTGCTAAATCTTAAATAGCAAGTGATTTTTTTAATTTGTTCAACCTAACAAGGAGGGTTGGAGAGGAACCTAAAATGCCCAGTGTTAAGAATTAAGATTTTTTTTTTTTTTTTTGTCTTTTTTGAGATGGGGTCTCCCTATGCAGTTCAGGCTGGACTTGAGCTCACTTTGTAGCCCAGGCAGGTCTTGAACATGCAATGATCCTCCCACCTCAGCCTCTCGAGTGCTGGGATTACAGGTGTGAGCCACCACACCCGGCAGAATTAAGATAACTTTTGATCAGCAAGTATGTAGTTCCTGCTGAGATCTGGCTGGCCCAAATTTAAAAAAAAAAAAAGGAAGAATTTCAATTCATAGGGGCCAGGGATATAGCTCAGCAGCACAGTGCCTGCCTGACAAGCACAAGTTCATGAGTACCATAAATAAATAAATACATAAATTTATGCACAATTTTGCCTTACCAATTTAGAGAGCAAGAAGCCTTGTGAAGTTAGATGTAAGTATAAGGTCCTCAGAAACGAAACGCTGCCTTTGTGTCAAAGAGTTGATTTTTGACATAACGAGCAAAATTGCTGTCTCAGGAGGTAGCACCTTACATGGCATAAGACCCACATGTCAGGGAGCAGAGAGAGTGAGCACTGGGTGGGACACTTCCGTGACCTCACAGCACCATCACCAATCGCTAGAGACTGAGCTCTCCTGCCACTGCCTCTCCAGCCCAGGGGTCTGGGGAGTCCCTGCAGGAACCTCATCATACATCCCAGGAGTACTGTGCACACAGCAAAGCTAAGTTAAGATGGCTCTGTCCCTAGCCCAGGCCCACAGAACTTTGCCCTGCCCATGCACCTCACAGGTACACACGGCTCACTCTTTCTTAGTTCCCATTTAATATTCTGACAACTGTTTCAGAGGAAGTTTGGGGAGATGTATGTAGTGAGGGGGCAGGGCTGTTAAAAGCCTCTAAGGGGCTTCTGGTGCCCACCATCCCCTCGCCTCTGCCCATTCTCACCTTGCTCAGGAGGAAATGGCAGCTTTCCAGCATGCAAGGCCAACTCTAAAGCAGAGTCCTCCTGAGTCACAAATGGCTCAAGATTCAGGGGCAGGGACATGATGTACTGCCCAATCTGAAACAAAAGAAGACACAGATGCTCAGGAGGGACATTCAGATGAAGGCAACTGGCAGAAAGACAAAACTTCTGGGTCTATGCACTCACGAGTGGGAGGCAATACTAGAGCGAGGGAGGGAGGAACACAGGTGTGTGGTAAGACTTTTTTTTAAAGTAACACCTTAAAAAAAATCAAAGGTAGTTTGCATAAGACTGTAGATTCATCCTTCTCAGGAATGGCTTTAGTGTTTTGGAATGCATTCAACACAACCTACCTCAAATGAGGTAATGGAGGCTAAAGTGCTTTGTCAAATTTAAAGCACTATGTAAATATGAGTTGTTATTACTGTTTACAGATGAAAACTCAGTAAGATGGCAATGTCAACAAGTATGAAGCTGGCCAAGAATTCAAATCCTGTCCCCTGGATCTGATCTGGTTCTCTCCCTTCTAGATGATTTAACCAGGAAAAGGAAGAAATTTTGTTTAAAAACAGCAATTTATAATTACAAATCAATTTGGAGAGAAAATTAATATTGCTTCATAATACAAGCTAGATAATAAAGACTGACCAATAAAAAAACCCAACTTTGACTGATGGGAATTACAAAAAGGTAAGGTTGTAAGACAATGGAGACTTCTCTGGACTTTAGTTTCTTCAACCTTAAAATCACTCTCAAGTCCCTACAATTAATACAGTATTTGCCACATGCTTGTCAGATATATCTGAAACAGTCATATGGGTATATTTTAAGAGCCCATTTCTACTACAATTCATAATTGTTTCATGCTTTACAATAAGTATATGCTTTATCCCAAGATAAAGTTCATTTTTGGATTATAACAATACATTTATTTTTATCATTGAGCCTTTTGGTTTTGGTTTTTGGCATTATTCCATGACATTCATGTTATTGACACTTAATTCTGCAAGCTACAAGCCAGAGGGCATCAAAGTCAGATCTTCCCAATCTGGCCTCATGCACCATTTCTAAAATGGCACGTTCCTTTCAGAGTGTGATGTCCAGAGTCAAACCTACCCATCTCAGACAGCTCTGGGAAAGCTCTGCCTTTGTTTCCATTTAACACAGGCTGGCTATGGTAAGCCCCAATATCCAGTGGTGCACAGTACTAACAAACAATTCTTTAGTTGGTCTTGCTCTAAAGAGCTTCACAGATGGTAAAATAAATGTCTTTTTTTCTTTTCATTTATTGACTGTTATAATCCTTCAATCAAATTAGGCAAGTGGCCCCTTAATCCACTTATAACAGCAACCACTGTACATTCACTTGAAAATGGTAACATGTGTATCATCTTCCCACAAGTCTGCAAGAAGCAAAGGATGCTGCTCTCTGGTGTTGGAATTTCCTCACTGTTCCATTCCATTCAAGAAGCACTTCTTGAGCACCTACTATGTGCAAAAACGCTAGCACACTCCTGTATTTGGTATACCTTTCATCTGTAACTAACATTTTGGCTAACTCCACTGAGCCAGTTTTATTTGAAATAAAGCTTCCTCAATATTATGCCTGGCACATAAGTTATTATTAAATTTCTTCATACTTGACTCCTCAGGGGAGTGAGGAGTCATATTTACACTTAATGCTCATGGGAGTTGGGTAGTCATCAACAGGAAAAATGTCATTTAGACACAAATTTTCAATAATCTGGCATCAGAGACATCAATTAACTGGCCTTAGATGGCACAGAATGGCTCTAGGTTTTGCTTGGGAGTCTTGTTGATATTTACAGTATTCTTTGGAAATCAATGAGGAAAAGATGCTAATTGCCACACCAAACTAATTTTTTTGTTTGCTTGCTTATTTGTTTTTTGAGATGAGGTCTCACTATGTCATTCAGGTTGGCCTTAAACTTATTAGGTAACCCAGACTGGCCTTGAACTTGAAGTAATACTCCTGCCTTAGCCTCCTGAGAACAGAGATTACAGGTGTGTGCCACCATGCCTAGTCTACTATTCTTATATATTCAACAGATCATTCTTGACATCCTGCTTGGATAAACTCACGGACACAAGAAAAATGTAGAGCTTTAAGGTTTGACAGACTTAGGTTGAGTCATGGCTCTATCACTGCAATTTTGGGCAACATAATCTGTCAGAATCTTCTTGTCATGGCCTCTGAATTAAGGAAGAACTCATCAAAGGGCTGCTGTGAAGGTGAAATTAGCATCATGGGATATGCACAAATGGGTAGCAAACTCTCACAGCACTGTCCTTGCAGGTGACCAATGCAAGTATGACACATGCTCCTTTCTGGAGTCTAGGTCATCAGCCTCTAGACACAATGACACCTATAATTCGGGGGGGCTGCAGCAGACCAGAAAGGCTGTAACCCGGAGACACATCCTACCCCTTCTTACTTCGCTGAACTTCAATTTCTTCAACCTTAAAATCACTCTCAAGTCCCTTCAGCAACATCATCTTTCTCAATCTCTTGAGACTATAATGTATACTGTCCTGATCCTAAAAATATGATTATTTGCACTGGTTATAAGAACCAGCCCATATCTTCTCAGCTCATCAGTACAGGAGAGGAAGCTGAAGGAAGGTGTCTGCCATTGCACTCCACAATGTTCCAGAGGAACAGGGCAGAATGCCCCATCCCACTGCTCCACAGTAGGATTGCCACACACTTCAAGCTCTACGGTATTTACTCCCTCAGTTTCTCTGTATCTATTACAACAGAAGCATAACTCAGATAAGGGGTGTGTTCTGAGATAAGAGCACTAGGGAAAGATAATCTAGGAACACCCACAATTTCCCCATCGTGTGAGAGATGCATGCTTCAGAGTATATTACTCTTGAATAGAGTCTTTCTTGCACACACCAGCACTTCAGAGCAACTGAGCTGGGGGAGTGGACTGCACAAAGGAATAGAAGGAAGGGCCATATGTGGATGACCATCAACTCCTAGAGGTGAATGGGAAAGAAAGGGCCAAGTGCCCCTGCTTCCCTGTAGGTTTGCTCTGCTCTTTTGATATGAAGCCTCTGTAACAGCAGTTTTTCTGAAGAGATGTGTCTTGTTGCTGTGAGGTTAAGCACAGAGCCTGGCACATGGTAGGTGTGCATTAAATGTTTGGTGAACTTGACACATACAGCTGCTCTTGTGAAAAGTCATGGAGAAAAATTTGGCTACCTGCCTCTTGATTTCCCAAATCAGAACTTCCTATTGGACACTGAGCTCTGAGCCCTTACAGACTGGCCAGTCTCACATTGGAAGAGACAGAGAAGGAGTGAGAACATCTTAGGTTCTGAAATTGCTATGTAGCTCTGCCACCTCAACTCTGAGATCTGAGTGTAGACTATCCAAAAACAAAGTCTGGTCAGCACCGATGGGGTAATGAGTATCCTACCTAGGAGGGCCAGAATAAAAAAATAAGGTGAGGTCTGCACTGTGAGGACCACCCTGGAGAAGCACCCAAAGGCACTTACATTGCTGATGTACTCCAGAGGAGTGAGACTGAAGGCAGGCAGTTCTTCGGTCAGGGTTTCTCCAATGCCGGCTGTGTTCCAGCTCTAGGGAAGAAGAAGCTGTTAATATTTCAGCAGCCAGGCAGCCCTGGAAGGTGACATGAGGAAGGACACAAATACTATGGTCTTTGTCATTGGGCACAGTCTGTAGTCAGAGCTGACCTCTGAACTAGCAGCACTCAGCAGGCCAGGGATTTCTTACCTCCAAGGCTTCTTAAAGGCCACCTTAGAGAAAGCAGTGTTTGTCTATCTGTATCTGTGTGTGTGTGTGTGTGTGTGTGTGTGTGTGTGTGTGTCTTTCTCTGAATTTCTGCAAACCCACAAATAGGAATACCTTCTCAGCCTAGTTACTTACTGGGTGGGCACCAATTCCTCTAGCTTATCTCATTGAGAATGTGAAAAAGGGTCAGATATCCCCTGGTCTGAGTTTCCTTACATGATGGTCATCAGTCACCATAGAAAAAGCTACTGAGTGTAGGTAACTCTACTAACCCTGACCTTCAATACTCTGAAGAGGATAGGACACCTTAAACTTCTCCTCAAAGTCAGTGTGAAACCCCCTGAGCTTGGGAGGGAAGCTCAGAAAGTCTTGAGTCTGTGGCAGGAACAACCCAATCTCAGTCACCAAAATTACTCTGCCTCATGCTAAAGCTACTACTTTTATTTCTATCTACTTTTTGGCTCTATTTCTTGACTGAATACAAACTCAAAAGAACAAGGAGGGGAAGCAGACTCCAACAACTGCCCTGTGTCTGCTCTGAGCCCTCTGTTGGGGGAGAACCTCAGTACCTGCACATAGCTCTTGCCACTTAAAGTGGAAATGTCTCTGATGTCACCATGTGAGCTTCTCCATCCAGTAAGTAGGTAAATCACCAGGACATATGCGCTTACAACTTTGGCATGGTACACTCTGGCACAGAAATCTAGCTTCTCAGTTCCAACCTGAGCCGCCCAAAAGCCAGCCTGGAAAATAAGGCCCTTTCTGGCTGGCCTCTGGAGTGACCCCTGAGGTCACAGTGAAACTGCTCTCATCAGCCACCTGATGCCCGATTTGGTTGCTTGAACATTTAAGTAGCATTCCGGGAATGGAATGACCACATCCACCCCTGGGCTGCCTGCCCAGGGTAAGCCTTCGTCTCTCCCCACAGTGCCAACTTGATTCCGTCTCGTTTTCTTTGCTGGAGATGAGATCCTTTCATCCCTACTCTTGCCCCTGCAACTTTAGTTTTCTAGACTCCTTCTTCTTGCTTATTTCACTTCAAAATATCTTGTATTTTTTCTACTTAACTCCCAATTCACTGAGAAGGAACACTCCAACTATCTATGCTTACTGAGTACCTTGATGAATAGTGTCTCCTGCTAAGCTTTGTAGAGAATGCTTGCTCCAGGGGCTGGGGATTTAGCTCAGCGGCATAAATGCCTGCTTGCATTTATGAGTTGTGAGTTCAATCCCCGATACCGATAAAAAGGAAAAAGACCAAAAAAAAGAAAGCTTGCTCCTTGCTCCCAGAAACTTACCTGGGTAAGTAAGATCTTGGGATAGTCCTTCCCTGTTCACCTCCACATCTCCTAGCCTATTCTCACTTCTCCTCTCCTCCCTATGCACACACACGCACAAGCTTCCCCTGACAGATCTCAGCACCAGGCACAAGGTTTTATACACTTGTGGAGAGCAAAAGCTCAGGGTGACTAAAGGAAGATTTGGTAGACAGTGCTCTCTCTCATACTGCTCTGCTCTCACTCTGTAGGGTGTACTCCTTTTCCTATTTTAGTAGCCCTGAACTGGTTTTGCAGGGCATGTTTATTTTCTTTTCATACATCTAGAGGCTGGAATACAGCATCATGAAGAAGACAAGAAGGAAAGAAGTAGGTCCCCTGGATCCAGGAAGAATCTAAAGTGTGAACTGAAGCCCACAGAGAGAATAAAAACTTCAATGAAGAAGAAGGTGGTAGCCGGCGAAACCTTCACTCTGAGACGGGACTCAGTGCACAAGAGGAGCTGTTGGAACCTAGGGATGGCTACGTTACAGTGTCAGTGATGGCTGGTGACCCCAGAGGCCCCTGCTGAGAGACACGGCAGTGGAGGGGAGCAGCGAATATGGATGACTGTACTGGCTGGTGTTGAGTGCAGAGGACTCAATCCTACCACAGGAAGACTGCAATTAGCTGGGAACCATTTTGGAGACATACTGGATAAGCCCAGAATCCGGAATTGCTGCTGGCTTCCTCTAATAGCTCCCAGCTGGATGCAGACCTGTGGAAATTGCTTAGATGACGGCAAGCCCAGTGAGTCTGGTCTCGCGGCAGGCCTGCTGAGGTTATCTATCTACTACTCTGCCATAAAGCAACTGCTGACTTTCTGGGATAGAATGGCACAATTCAGGATTCTGTCTCAACAGAGTGTCTACTAGTGAAACAAGAGAATCCTGGAAATAGACTATTTGGTTTTTTCTTTTTGTTTGTTTTTTGTTATTTTGTTTGTTTTTCCTTTTCTCTTTCTCCTTTTTTTTTTTTTTTTTTTTTAATGAGTGTGACAGTGGTTCCTACTCTCTCTGTGGGTGTAGTTCTGTTCTATTCCTTTAATCGCTTCCATCTTTGGTCTTCTGCACCAGTTTTTCCAAGTTGGTATGATCCCTACCCCTTTGTCTTCCAGCCTTACTTCTAATCTCTTTCTCTTCTTCCACATCTCTATTTTCTCTTTAATCCATTTTACATTTTAACCCCAAGGACAACACTGAAACACTATGGACATAACTGTTTTAAACAGCTGTTGGTCCTGATAATCCATGACTGAGATTAACTAAGAGTCACAGAAAATATGGTGGCACAGTGCCAAAGAACCAGGGACTCGGCCAAACAACTTATCACTCCAACAAGATCTTCCAAAGATTCAAAACTTAAAAACCAGCTACACCTGGAAGATACCTCACAGAAGTAATCATCACCTAAGGGTTCTGAATACTACCTACCGACCATGGGCAACTTGTAAGCATCACTCCAGAATTTAAACTAAAAAAGAGAAAAGAAAATGAGAAGACACTTAAGCAAAATGCAACCCAGCCATCCAGTTCACCAAAGGCAAATCCAGGGAGCAATGAGGTAGGACAATTCAAAAGACGCCACCAGGACTTTCTGAAGTGGAAACAACAAAGCAATTAAATTAAGCCCTGGAAAAAATGAAATCAGAAATAATCTCTCAGATAACCATAGAGATTCTCAAAATATACACCATCCTTAGCAATGTTAGAGTAGACACAGGCAAAAAAGAGAAGAGCTTAAGCAAATTATGGAAGCTCAGCACAGGAAAGAAATGGAATCCATAGAAGCAGATTCAAGTAGATATCCAGCAGGAAAACTGCATTAAAAATATTCTAAGTAGACTAGGCCAGTGTGAGGACAGGATCTCAGTGAGTAACCAGGATAATAAAGATTTCTCAAATAGCAAGAGACCGTGAGAAATCAACCCAGCAACTGTTAGAGACAAAGAATAAACTTAAGGTTAATTGGAGTCAATGAACAAGCAGGAGATACTACAAATGACACTTAAAAAATGTTCACAGACATCATGACAGAAAACTTTCCTGGTAGAGAAAAAGACTTTGACACACAGCTGGGCTACACAGTGAGTTTAAGACCAGACAAGTCTGGAAATAAAGTGAGTTATAGGATCCCATGGCACATAGTGCCTTGTCAAAAGTGAAAAATTAAGTGATGTGGTTTCAAAAATGGTGGCTTGCTAGGGGATTGGGCAGAGAGTCTCTCCGGAGAAATCATATTAGATGCTAGAATATGACAACATGGAGAGGGCCAGATGAATGGATAATGATTCTTATTAACCAAGACAGCGCAGCTGGAGAATTTAAGGTCATGCTGAGACTGCGATGGATGATAACAGGAGTCTGCAAATCCCGCACCTTTAACGCAGCACACTGACTAGTGGATCCAATAGGAAAAGCTGTATTGGCTTTTGGCAACTGCCGAAAATTGAGACCCAGGACCCCGCGAAGCAGCCAGGGCTACCAGGCTGCACTGGAGGAGATTGTGAGAAGCTCTGGAGCTCCAAAGCCGAACACTGTGCAGTTTTCTGACTGTTCTGCCACTTGTCGGGAATGCAGTGAAGGCAAGTGGCGTAGTATGCAGTAGACTCAAGAGGAAGACCTGCACTGAGTCCTGGTGAGTACTAGGGACTGGGTCCCGCAGCTGCTGTGGCTGGCTGGAGGACATCTTGGAATTGGGCAGAACCCGGCACCGTGACATCAGACAGTCGCCCCTGGCATAGAGAGGTCTGGTGGAGGACATCTTGAAATTGGGCAGAGCCCACCACCATGGCAACATCAGTAACACGGAGAGTCTGGTGGAGGACATCTTGGAGTTAGGCAGCGCCCGGCGCCATGACATCAGACATGGCATAGAGAGGTCTGGTGGAGGACATCTTGAAATTGGGCAGAGCCCAGCGCTGTGATGGCGTCAGCAACATACAGAGAACTAGTGGAAGACATCTTGGAATTGGGCAGACCCACTGCCAGTGACATTAGATAGTTGCTCCTGGCACAGAGAGGTCTGGAAGAGGACAGCTGGGATTTGGGCAGAGCCCTGTGCCACAGTGACATTAGTCAGCCACTTCTGGCACAGAGAGAACTGGCAGGATCTGCTGGGGCTGAACCAAGCCTCTGATTGGGACCCAATAAGCAGATACAAAATAGTCAAGACTCTGTGACATCCACAAAGTACAGCCTAATCTGCGGATTGACTGGCACAGAGGCTGGAGGCTAGCCTGCACTGTCCCTGCATCCCTGCCTACCACAGATAACAGCAAGTTGGAGAGGGCAGCAAAAACTCAAGTCAGCACACTTCTGAAAGGCCCTAAGCAATACGGAGAGGGACAGAGAACCCAGGACACTCCAGTCTGAAAGAAACCAGAAACATGACAAGAGATAGAAACAAAAAAAAAAAATCTCCAGCTGCCCAACATGAGAAAATAAGCCCAGGAAAAATAAACACTGAAGAGAACAAGCACAGTAACCATTCAATACTGGACACAGCAT